TTACACCTTCATCATTGCGCTCATGGATGAGATCAACCTCAAAGTGAGAATTACAGCATCTAGATGTGTGAGATCCGTTATAAACCTAAAACATACTTCACCTCTGGCTTGTGTATGCATTGCAGAGGGAAGAGGAAAATATAATAAAGTTCAATATAACCGTCTGGGAAGCCAGTCTTTTCAATGGCACAGTATCAGTAAACAGCACGGCTCCACCCGTCACTATCGAGCCCGCTGATGTGCCCAGAGGGCCCTGCTGGGAGACCATGGTGGGCCAGGTCAGTGGGCATCTACTTGTGTGTAAACTATTGCGCAACTGTATGATGTCATCTTTTTTAAAGCATAATGTTACAGATACCCGAGCCAATATTGTATATCGTGAATTGGTTATAGTAGCTTGAATACAGTAATTATTTTGAATAGAAAAATAAATGTACTCACACTACATTCTGTTGCCGTAGGACATAAAGTGTGGTTACATTACTTCAATATAAAAAGTTCACACAAAGGTAAACTAACCTTAACAGGCATATTAAATATTGAGAAACATACAAAGAGTAAAAAGTAAAAATGTACAACCTGTGTAAAGTTACCACCAATACCTAAGAGAGGATACCACTGATGCATTGCATTGTATTTGATGTCTACATACATGTAAGCCTTATATATTAAATGATTGTATAATATATTGCTTTGCAGGAGTTTGTTCGGCTCATCATATCTGATACCATGACAACTTATATCACGCTGCTGATCGGTGACTTCCTGAGAGCCGTGCTTGTTCGTTTCCTCAACTACTGCTGGTGTTGGGATCTCGAGGCTGGATTTGTGAGTTGAAGTTCAACCAGTTTCCAGTTCAGAGGTGAATTTAAATGTAAAAATCAGAGTCAAAACTTGTATTTCTATGTTTTTTGTGTTGCTTGTGAAAGCCTTCCTACTCTGAGTTTGATGTCAGTGGGAACGTACTGGGCCTAATCTTCAATCAAGGGATGATATGGTGAGAAAACAATTCTGGTTTTATTCAAATTAGCAGATTTTAAGAGAAGAAAATGAATACCACTTCCAGTTAGTCCTCCACTCAGTGTTTAGCCCTAATCCTTTCCTCCAGGATGGGTGCTTTCTATGCCCCCTGCCTACCTGCCCTGAATGTCCTCCGGCTCCACGTGTCCATGTACCTGCAGTGCTGGGCCGTCATGTGCTGCAATGTGCCCCAGGAAAGGGTCTTCAAGGCCTCTGGCTCCAACAACTTCTACATGGCCATGTTGCTGGTCATCCTCTTCCTTTCCACTCTGCCTGCCATCTACACCATCGTCACCATCCCCCCTTCCTTTGACTGTGGACCCTTCAGGTAATGATGCTTGTTCAAGCAATCGGCCAATTTAAGTTTGCTGTCTCGACACTCTGTCACGCTCATCCTCTTGTCCTCAGTGGGAAACAACGTATGTTTGATGTGATCCAGGAGACTCTTGAGTCGGACTTCCCTGCCTGGTTTGGCAAAGTGTTCAGCTATGCCTCCAACCCTGGACTGGTGCTGCCCTTCATGCTGCTTATGGTGTGAGTCAACAGCAGACTGCATGATTATTCTTCAGCACAGCTTAAGTTAAATATATGACCCTGTTCTCATCGCTTCCTTTCAGCTGTAAGGTTTAATGTTCTCTGGTGGTAATACTCTTTCTTTCAGATTGGCCATTTACTACCTGCAATCCACATCCAAAAGTTACAAAGAAGCCAATATGGAACTGAAGAAAAAACTACAAACGGTAGTCCAAAATATGTTTCCCCCACTGGTCCAGCAGTCTTGCTTTAATGTGTATTTTTAGAGATGCTAGAATAACGAAATTAAGTATTTGGAAATGTCACAACAACGCTCATAGTCAAGTGAAAGAGAGTTTAGGACTATAATTTTTTTTACATTTTAAAATAAAAAGGCGGAATGTTTGTGGTGTGTGTCTGTGGCAAGAGTAGTTGTGTTAGCATCATCACCCCAGCAGAGAGCAGCAGAGGAGGCAGGTGCTCTCTGTCCAAAGAGCCTGCTATTAAATAAACAGCTGACATTTCTGTAAGCCCCATTTTACACTTCTGTACTTTACGGTGGTTCCTCAAGTCTTGTAATGATTTATTTTATATCCTTTTCAAGCAAAATGAGGAGAACAAGAAAAAGAACAAACTAGCAGCACTGAAGGCACAAATGGATCTAGAAGAGGCCAGAAAAGGTTCATCTCGGACTGCACAGCAACAAAAAAACAGTCCTTCACTGCAAGACCAAGAGAGTGAGGCTTTTTATTATATAGAAAATAAAAAAAAGATAAAAAGAAAGATTGAATGCAAAAATGTAATTTAGGTTCATTTTGTTATTCAACTTCAAAATGTCTGCTCTAAATTATCTCCCCCCTACCTCCCCCTATTTTCCCACTACTCCCAAGCAGAAGTAGCCATTTGGTTAACACTGTGAGCTTGTCCTTGACCAAACTTTACCTAACTGCTACTCTTATATCGGCCATACAGTCGTGATACAGCAGTTTGCGTGGCAGTAACGTTGACAAGTGAAACCTTTCTTTTTCTCTACTTTCAGCAGATGAAGAAGAAGACCACAGAAATAGTCAGAGGCTACATCGTAGTAAAAATGGACGCAACACTCCTCATTCAGTTAGAGAACGAGGAGGCCAATTTCCAACCTCCGGAGCCCCTGTCGCCAGGCCCAATCGCCATGGTAACCAAGGGACTCCTGGGTATCCACCCAGTTTCCCTCAGCAAAGTGAACCGAGGATGCACAGGCTGCCGAGTCTGCAGAGACACTGAGGGAATTAACTTTAGTATGCGAGCAAATGTCACTTGAAATCCAGCAGATTATGGCTAAAGTCATATATTGGAAAGTTGGTGCACATTTTCTCCTCCTGTCAATGACCAAAAAAAGTTGCATGCATTTCAAATGAGTAGCTGATGCTTTGTTTACCAATTAAACTTTAACAAAAACAGAATTTCCCTATTCCCTTTAAATGTTGAATTATACTACTTCAAGTGTCTTTTCTCACGATCAATACATTTGAAATTCATTTGAAATTAAGATAAACTGACAATTTTTCTTTTTCTACTTTTTCCACTGTTTCTGTATGTTTATGTTACATTGGCTTGGGTTAGTCGAGTTAATCAAGTGTAAATATGTGCTCGACATGGAGTTTATATACTCAATTGAATTAGAATCTTTGATTAATTATCTTAAATGATAGACAATAACAGCATGTGGAAATAAATGCTTTAATTTTCATTTTTAACTTGTTTTTCAGTTTCCTAACATACTTCTTTTTAAATTTCAAATCATTTTAAATCGCAATTACAAATATTTATATCTTCTCCCTCTGAAAAAAAGAGTTTGAAAACCAGTCTTTCAACCTGTGACTGGGCCAAAGCAGTAAATACTTAATAAAACATGGAGTTCATTTAACCTAGCGAGGTTTAAATGGAGGCTTTTTTCATCTCTGGCTGGACTTGTACCATGAACTTTACAGCCATTATTTAATGAGCCGATACGCTGCTCTGATAATCATTGAGATAAGAGCTGTCTGTGTGAATCCATACACCGTGACCCCCTGACCTTCATCGTGTATCAGGGGCCGTATCATCTGATAACCGCGCGGTCGTATCCAGTGTCCGTAGCTGATCATCCTCTGCGTTCCTGTCAATCAACCTCTCAATTCAGCTGTCCTGTTGGTCACGCGTAACATTAATAGTGTCTTCTCATTAGGAAAAGTTTATTAACCTGAAACCCTATATATTGATGGTCATTCAAAGTCTTGTTCAATTAAACATTTAATATAAGGGTTGTCATCGAGGAATAAGTGTTGTGTTTAATCATTTAGGACAGCTAGTCATCAAGCTCAGAGTGGCACTGACGTTACATTTCAGAATCAATCAAATCAACTTCCATTGATGCTCGTGGTTAATTCATGACCACGAGTGCATCAAGTATTAATCCCTGCAGCTATTTGAGAACCAGTGCATGGAGAAAGCCGCTATATTCTTTCAGCGTGGGCCAAGAAATGTCAATCACATTATTGGCACAATCTTTCAAAGTAATCAATAGGACAGTAGGACTGAGAGAGATTAAGTAAAGACTCCCATCTTATCTCCATGCCTTAGACGCTGTCATAATCTGCCACGCTCTTATTTATTCAATTAATACCACACCCGTGATGGCCGCTGGATCACCATGTCACTGGCTCCATCCCAGTCTCAGTCCCGCCTGGTGGGACGGTTTAGTAGAAAACTGAGCCATGACAGGTTGCACATTACCGGATGTCTCAAGGTCAGCATCTCTTATTCCCTGAGGCTGAGGGGAGAATCGTGACACTGAGGTGCTTCCAGCACTGATTTCACTGCCGGTACGTTGTTTGCTTTGGAGAGCAAACGTTCTTCGCAGGGTGTGAACTTGTTGAAGGTTAGACACAATTTTGTGGATATTAAAAATGAATGCATGAAGCCTCAATCTAGTATAGTAAGAATAAAGGATGAAGATTAATATCAAATGGTTGCAGGAGTAGTAGGACATTCCATGTGAGGAGTGAGAAGAGGAGTTCAATGAGATGGATAAAAAAGCTGTAACTTGGGTATTGTGAGCATCATAGCAGCCAAGCATCTCCTGTTACCTCTGCAAAACTTTTTTGTGTTTTTTTCACCATTATTACATATTATATTATATTATATATTATATTATATTATAATATTATTATTTCACAAGTTTTTAGCAATTATACAATTAGATTAAACTTTAGGATTAAAGTAAGCAGACTGTATCTAAGCTTCTGGTGAAAAATAGCATTAGCATGTTGATAGACAAGTCCATTCTCTGACCATGTGCAGCATCCTGATAATAATCTAATTAATTGTGTTGTCTTTGACTGTCGTCAAGGAGCCCAGTCTTCTAACAGCCTGAGCAGAGGAGCACCTGCTCCTGTATGTGTGCGTGTGTGTGTGCATGTGTGTTTTTGTGTTGGAGAGTGGGAGGGGGTGTACCCAGGCTTTCTGAAACAGTATCTTTACAAGAGCCCCTGTAAGAACCCCTTACACCAGGATGGAAAGGAAGCAGAGTGAGCAGAGGAATAACTGCAGGGAATAACTCATAGAGATGCAGCAAAATGCCCCGAAAGATGAAAAACGAGGCTGCAATTAAAGTCGAGCATGGTAATATTTATTTTTACTTTATTTTCCTATGGAAAGAGCTGTTTTTAGTTTGTTTGCTTAGTGTGAATTTTTTTTGTTGAGTCTCCTAAATTTCTGCATGTTTACAGTTGGGATGGAGATTGATGTTGCGTCAGACAGTGGAAGTGAAGGTAGGTTTGTTTGCTTTTCCTTAAGTCTTCTTCTAAACCAAGTTTACTCTTTTACATTTTGTGGACTTTATTATTGTTCTTCGTACTTTCGACGGGCTCTTGGCTGATTTTCTAAAATGTGTATGTTTGTTTCAGATGAGGCCAGACGGAGGTTTAGAAAAGTAAGAGCCAAACCTCAACGTAAATTCAAACCAGTCAGCGATCAGGAGGACGACGAAGATGATGAGGAGGACGAGGCACCGAGAAAGAGAGTACGAAAGAAGAAGGTCAAGCCCCGGGACAGCGATGAAGAGGAAGACAACCAGAGTGTGAAAAGAAAAAGTTCAAAAGCACCGAGGAAGAAAGCCAAGGAAGAGAGCGAGGAGGAGAGCGAAGAAGAAAGAGAGAAAAGGAGAAAGCGAGGGACGGACTTGTCCAAAAAGAAGAAAGAGGACCAGAACAAGGAGAAGAAGGGAAATGTTAAAGGGAAACCAAATAAGAATATGGGTGGTGACCATGACAAGAAAAAGAAGAGTGGGAAATTGAGCAGGTGCGGTATTCTCTGAGAGAGGACTCTCACATACCTGCATGCTCCACAGTCTTTCCTCTGGCAGACTGCAGGGATACAAAGCTGGTGCAATTCCTTTCAATATTGTTGCAACCTGAAATGCATAAGTGATGAATAAGTTTACATGATGCTGATTTTGGCCGATGTGATGGATGGTGTAACCTAACTTGTTCATCCATTATTTAGGCTGCCATAAAATAAAGGCAACGGGACAAAACACCCTGAGACACCAGATACTGTTTCATTGGGAGTGTTTGGGAGTTGGCTGCATTTTAAATGTTGCAACTACCTGCTGTGACTGTCTAGTTAAAAAGGTCACCATTGACTTGTATGCAAGCTCTTCAAAATGATTGGAGGATTTTTTTCTCTGAGCTTGGCATATTTATTGGCATGCATTCACAACACGGTACATTTAGACTACTGTAGATTAATACTACTAAGTGAAGAAGTGACATACAATAAAGCAAAAATGGTGGCGCTGTTGCCCTTCAAATGACTAAGAAATTGTGTTGTATTTTGACATTGACGTTGACTTCAAAGCCAATGTGTGATGCAGTTTGAATGAGAAACGGCAAAGCATGCTGCCATAAAGAAAAACGTATGAAATGGGTGGAATCCGTCCCTCTCTGCTGTGCACAGGACTTTGACGTAAATGCTAATGGGGGCATGCCAACCTGCTCAAAGCGTCAGGTTAAGCTATTATATTTGCAATGCACGGTAAAGCACCAGCACGCACTAAATACAAAGAACAGATGGCTGATGGGAGCAGGCATATGGCCATAAACACGTATATTACTAGTTGAAAAGTGGTTAACGCAAATATGACTGAAAAAACAGCAATAATCAAGCAGACTAGTTGGTGTTCTAGGGTTCAGATTTGGTTCCTGTGGTGGATTTGGCATGTGACAGCTCTCTCCCTTTGTCAGCTCGTCTTCCGCCTCCTCTATTTCTGGTGAAGAATCGCTGTCGGAGGGAGAGATCGCAGCCCTGAAGGAGCAGGTAGAGGAGAAGAAGAAACTGATTGCTACGTTGAGGAACAAACCCTGGCGCATGAAGAAGAGGCTTGTGCTGCTCAAGTAAATAACAAAAACTCCTGTGCCTGCTTGCGTGTGATTACTGCAATCTTTGGTGACAGAATCCTGCTACTCTTTAGTGTTTTTGGTCATTGACTACTTGTTAGGGTTAGGGTATATGATCACTCATGTCATGTACATGTGATGTCGACCATTCATTGTTAAAACGTGTTAAAGCAGTTTTGTGCTTCTCTTTATCAGCGCTGTTAAGTCGCAAATCAAACCATTCATACTTTCAGGAGATTTGTAGAACCGAGCTTCAACATACAAAAAGGACTCAACAGAAAACACAGGGCATGGAAACTTGACATATAATAAGATCCAATGCCTTTGTTCGTCAACATTCACAAATGTATTCAATAATGTAACACTAAACAACACCAGCACCCTTTACCCATCTCCTCAGTGTGAGAAGACATTACAGAGGGATAATAGTGTGTGTAGTATGTCTGTGTATGTACAGATCAGTGTGGGCAACCCGATAGGTGAACTGTCTTAACTCTTTCGTGAGCTTGACACTGTTTAATGCATGTTGTGGCAACTCTTCCTTCCGCTGTTCATAATTCATGCATCGCATTGCCAACAATCAGTAAGTCTTCCCAAATATGTCACTCTTCCTGTTGCTCCTGTCTCCGTTGATTAATTAGGTGGTCGGTTGGGAAAGTTGTGTTTTTCATTTGCATATTCCGCACATTACTTGTCTAATCGGGGGGATGTTTTTCTCTAAATGGTCCAACAGGGATGCACAGGGGTTTGTTGAAACATTTGAAGGAGCACTTGGGAAAGGAAAAGGAAAGAAGTTGTATGCATTCAAAGTCCTGATGACCAAGGTAATCTGCTCATTTTGTATTTGCTTAATACAACTTTTAAATGAGGATGATATTGTGATAATATATATATTTTTTTATTTCAGAAACTGATCAAGTTCAAACGGGACTTTGAGAACTTTAAGACAGCCTGTATACCCTGGGAGAGGAAGATAAAGGACGTAGAAAGTTGGTGCCGCAATGACATTATTGGAAAAATAATCACCGCTCTGTGGCCTCTTTGTTTCTGAGTCAAGTTCTCTGTTCTCTTAACTGCAGGTCACTTCGGTTCATCGGTGGCGTCCTACTTTATTTTCCTGCGCTGGATGTACGGCCTGAACATGGTGCTGTTTGGGTTCATGTTTGGCCTGGTGGTTCTGCCCGAGGTGCAGGTTTGCATGTTAACACAGTCGGCACATGACGATGTTGTACATGTTTTTGTAGCTCCTCTGTCTCACTCCCACACTCTTCTCCCCTGCTTTAGATTCTCATGGGTCTTCCGTACGGCTCCATTCCCAGGAAAACTGTCCCTCGAGAGGAGCAAGACACGGCCATGGACTTCTCCGTGCTCATCGATTTTGGAGTGAGCACGACCTAGACAGGACTCACGGGCGTCTTTATTTCATCAATATTTTAACAAGATGTCATGGTTTCACTAGCCATGTTTTTCTTAGTCTAGGGAAAGTTGCACCCTGCAGCAATTTGCACAGTTTTGATGCGTATCTGTATCAACAGGGATTCTGCAAGTACTCCTTTTTGTTCTACGGATACTACAACAACGATCGAACGATCGGGGTGCTGAAGTTCAGACTCCCTCTTTCGTACTTGCTGGTGGGAGTCGGCATCTTTGGATACAGCCTGATGGTCGTCATAAGAACGTAGGGCAAGACACAAATAAACAAACGTGTCGGTCTTCATGTAAACAGGGTGTTTTTTTTTCATGTGGTCTTCTTGCCTTCTCAGGATGGCTCGTAACTCAAATGAAGGCGGTGACGGGGGGGAGGAGGGAGAATTCACCTTCAGCTGGAAGATGTTCACCAGCTGGGACTACCTGATAGGAAACCCAGAGACTGCGGACAATAAGTACGCCTCCATTACCACCAGCTTCAAGGTGAGCAGGTGTGTGTCTTTGTGTTGGAGCATACGCAGTGTAACATTAACACTTTGATGCGTGATGATGGAAAAGAGGTAGAAAAGTTGATTCCCCTTATACCGACTTATTTTGACCTGCTGTAGGAGTCCATCGTGGATGAACAGGAGAACCAGAAAGATGAGAACATCCATCTCCGACGCTTCCTCCGGGTTCTGGCCAACTTCCTGATCACATGCACTCTCGGAGGCAGCGGATACCTCATCTACTTTGTTGTGAAACGTTCGCAGGACTTTGCAAAGATGCAACAAGAAAAACTCTCGTGGCTTGAAAAAAACGAGGCAGGTGGATATTAAGGACATATTATTGTTTTAAGACAAAATAAGGAGATTTTTAAGCGTTGCGGCTTGAAAATGAGAGTGAAAATGAGAAGAGTAACCTCCCCTTTCTTGTCCGATGTATCAGGTGGAGTTTGTGATGTCTCTGTTGGGGCTAGTGTGTCCTCCTCTGTTTGAAACCATCGCAGAATTGGAAAATTATCACCCTCGTATCGCCCTCAAGTGGCAGCTAGGACGAATCTTTGCCCTTTTCCTTGGAAACCTTTACACATTCCTCTTCGCTCTATTTGATGAGGTTAATGAAAAGGTACGACGGATATCTACGTATTTGTTTATTCCGGATGCTCGGCAGGTGTGGCACAGTTGTGTTTATAGATATTGGGCTTGATTTGGGGTGTATTTAAAAATCCTTTGCTAAAACCTCTGCTGCAATTTTTCTAGTGTCTGATACGTCACAAAACAAAATCTGCTTGAAGCTCAACAATTTAAGATAAGAATGACTTGCTTTTAAAATACTGTACCCACCGTCAGTTAAGCTACAAATCTTGTGGAGTTGTAACCTTTGCTTTAAAGCAAACGCTTATCCAAATGGAAATGGAGAGTTGTATCTGGCTTTTTATCCAACACTCATCCGGAAAGTGAAAAGCATTTTCTGAATTGTGTAACTACTCCTTTAAATCTAGGTGGCAGACTGAGCATATTCCCGTGGGTGTGACTTGTAGTACTTAAGTCAAGTTTGAGATTCGTTGCCTTGAATTAACTGAGATATTTTCTATTCTTCAGCTGGAGAAGGAGAAGTCCATCAGGAATGCCACTATATGGAATTTGCAACAGTACCACGCCAACTACAGCTCCTACTTCAACACCACAGATGTGCCACCTCCAAATGTGTCCCCGGCCGATGTCATCAGAGGACCCTGCTGGGAGAATGCAGTGGGAATAGTCAGTAGTGGCGTTAAACTGTTTTCCAATGGTGAATGAAGAATAATCGGTGTATAAACAGCACCAGCTGCAGTAGATACCAATTTGTATTGTTCAGTTTGCAGATTCATGCCTTTACTTTATCCTCAGATTAACCACAAAGAGGAACCTGATCATTTGAATTCATTGGTAGGTTTGTATTTAGTTTTATTTCTTTTACTTCATTTCTTGTCGGTTCCTGATGTCGTGCAGGGATTTGTGAAGCTGGTCGTGTCGGACATTCAGGTGAGCTACCTGACCATCCTGGTGGGGGACTTTCTGCGAGCTGTCATCGTCCGCTTTCTCAACTACTGCTGGTGCTGGGACCTGGAGGCCGGATTTGTGAGTGTGTTTGTTGGTCACCGTATCTCTGCGTATATTATCTGTGAGTGTGTTCTTTTGAATAAACAATCAATAGTTTGTTTTTCTACCTACCCAACCAAACATTGTACACATGTTTTTTATGATGTAAAGATTGATTTACACCATGCTTGCGGTCATGTGGTCAAAGAAGGTGCATCCGTTTATGTCAACATTGCACAGCTCTCATGTCATTTAGCTATTATTGAACACTGTTTGAGTACAGCGCAGTTCGTGTAGCATCCAAGTCAACCTGACACCATAAGACGACATCTTACAGGACAGTTGATCCCTAACATCCAGTAACACAGGGCACTGCAACGAGAACTTAATTACAGAGAGAGAGAGAGAGAGAGCGAGAGAGAGAGACAGGGAGAGAGAGAGAGAGAGAGAAGCATAGCCATTTAAAAGTGATCAAACTGGAACATTAGCTCATTGGAGCATGATAACCACTTTGTTGTGTTGATTGCAGCCTTCATATGGGGAGTTTGACATCAGTGGAAATGTGCTGGGGCTTGTCTTCAACCAAGGAATGATATGGTGAATTACCCCTCGTGTTTCTGACACAAATGTGCTAATAATATCTAAGAAAGTGTGAACTGCATTCCTTGAAATTGTCTTATTTGTTTGACTGTTGACTGTAAAATCAATCACATTGAATCATGCTGTTTTCCTCAGGATGGGAGCATTTTACGCTCCCGGTCTGGTGGGTGTGAACATTCTGCGTCTCCTGTCCTCGATGTACTACCAGTGCTGGGCAGTGATGTGCTGTAATGTTCCTCACGAGCGAGTTTTCAAGGCCTCGCGGTCCAACAACTTCTACATGGGGCTGTTGCTGCTGGTGTTGTTCCTCAGCGTGCTGCCTGTTGTCTACACCATCATGACCTTGTCCCCGTCGTTTGACTGTGGGCCGTTCAGGTCAGCAAGAGATGGTGGACAGGGAAATTCATTAAATGTACAATGTTAGCTTGATAGATCGATAGATCGATCTTCTGCAACTTAAAAGAAACTCAGTCATTTAATTAACATAATGTATCAATCCCAAACTGTTTAAAAGCTATGGAGTGTATATATCCAAAGGTACTGTTTGTTCTTTGAAGGCTTTTAAATATTTACAGTCAGTCTGTCAGTTGCTCATCCTCCGTGTTGAGTAGTATTGAGCTACATGTTCTCTACTGTAATCGAACCCCCTTTGATGAGTATTCCCCTCGGGCAGGCACCACCACACTCACTGTGCAGTCCCTGTAGCGCAAAGCATGGCTGTGATCATAGACTTGTTAAAAACACATTTTTGTCCCCTAGTATTCCACTTTCTTTGTGGTAGCACTCCACTTGAGAGGCATTCAAGCCTTCTTTTGCCTAAACCGGCTCACATTTGTAATTCTGTGGGCCCTTTTCTATTGATATGCAACAAAAAATGTTGGCTAATGCATTTCATCCACATTCTTCCCTTAGTGGCCAAGACAAGATGTACGACGTTGTCATGGAGACTATAGAACAGGACCTCCCATCCTTCTTAGCAAACATTTTCACATATGCCACAAACCCAGGACTTATCCTGTCTGCAGTCCTCCTCATGTTGTAAGTATTGCTCAAAAGTATTACTCCAAGTAAAGTCATTTCTTGGAGTGCTGACCTCACAATCTAATGACTTCCGTTTAAAGACTTCTAATAATGCACAACAGGTTGGCCCTCTACTACCTGAATGCCGTGTCAAAGGGATACCAGCGAGCAAACTTGGACCTTAAAAGGAAGATGAAAATGGTCAGTATGAATGTTGTTATGTCCAAGTTACGTTTTCATCTCTTTTCAATATTTCCTGTTTTTAGGACTGTCAAACACATGACTGTCTGCTTTAACACTTTAGGCACGAGACGAAGAGAAGAACCGCAGGAACAACAAGGACAGCACTAATCAAGTGATGAAAGACTTGGAGGACCTGCTGCCAAACAAGTGTCTAATACCGCCTCCCATCGCAGAGGAGCCAGCCCCACTTGGTACACACACACACACACACACACACACACACACACACACACACACACACACACACACACACACACACACACAAAGGGATATTCCTTTATTGCACCCGACTGTTCTCACCAAGCTTTTTGCTCTCTATCTGTCTTCCAAGATGCTGTAATTACAAAGGGCAGCAAGTCTCCCAAGATAAAACCAGGTGCAGCGGTAAAAGGGGTAAATCTGCAGAAGGATGTGTCGCTGGCTGCTCCAAACCCCAGAGCTGCAGTGACCTGTGCCCCGCGGCCAAGAGGTGGACCTCCTGGGAATTCCAGGGGACCTCAACCTGGACCTGGTAGAGGAAGAGGTCAGGGTAGACCCCCAAGGCGACACGAGTTATGATCCATGGACTGAAATAATTTACCGTAGATCACTGTCATACTGTGAATGGAGAGTGCCACTGCAATATCTTCTTTAAAGACTCTTTCTTTTAATTGTCTAAAATAAATTATGAACACACATTCATTTATTAACAGTTACTGTTATAACTGAGTATTTCAAATGTGCAATACTTAATACTTAATCAAGTATTATTAACCAGTGACAATGGTCACTTAACCAGTTAATCAATGCAAAAGCACACTACAACATCCACAGTCCGGTCCCTTAATATCTGCAAATTGAAGGTGGAAATGAGTTGAGAGTGTGTGGAAAGTAAATGACACAGACATTACTGTTTTACCTGTACCCGCACTAAAATGTATAAAACATAAAATCATGTTTACTGCATTGCAACCCGTGTAAAGTTTACTGTTTTAAAATACAAAAGCTAAAATATTTTTTTTCTGGCAAAGTGCTATTGAAAAAACAGGTAATCTTGATTTACATAACAGACAATGATGGAAAACATGCTGTTGACTAAAGTGTTAAATATATCTAAGATTGAAAACATAGATCACAGAAATATAAAGGGGTAGAGACACGGTATGAAAAATAAATTGTAAGAATAAGAAGAGTATATCTTAGAAGAAATGACGGCAGTAAATGTTCATAGAGTGACACAGCATCAATGATGCCTTCAAAATAACATCAAAACTGAGTAGGATTTTAGAACATGCAACATTTTACAAACGGCGCCCCATAGCTTACAACATGTATGAAATACTCACCGAGTCAGCCTCCTCCACCTCGCACAGCAGCTTCCCTGAGGTGGGATCAGTGACAGGAATCTTTCTCCCGCTACAGGACTCCTGCCACTCGTTATTGATGAACAACTGTGAATCCAACAGAGAATTAGAAAATGAATAACACGCACAGGAAAGAAACAAAGTTTATATCCCTTGCCCTCCCAGCGCCTCACTCGTTGTCTCAGCAGATGAAGGACTGTCCTAAACCAATGGAGCAGGGCATCGGCTCTCCTCAGCATTAATAAAGATGTTAAGTGGGAGATGTTTTGTCGGCTCTGATATCTTTCATGAGATATGCTTGATTCAGTGAAATACAAACCAGATGATTATGCTAGAACTGCCCCCCAAGGTAAACATGGTATCATTTAATTTTTAACCAATGTCACATCATTTTAATCACAAGTTAACTCCCCAATTTAAAACCCCCTACATGGGTTTCTCTGCAGTTCTGAAGACATTGCTGTACTAAAACCTGAGTGGTCGCATTCCAATTCTTTTTAAATCCATAAATTCTGTGTAGATATTGGCAGCTTCCCACAGCACAAAACCGGAGCTCCGTTGTGGATCTTTCCTCACATTTTTTTGGACTTCAGTTGTAATGTTCAGCTTACCTGGGTGTACTGAATGTGGGGCTCTAGGATTGGCTTCGGCAGGTCCTGCGTCTCAGCTCCGTCTACATGCTCCGGTTTGTGGTTCTGATTTTGACCTTGATGGTTGCACCCGTTATCCGACTGTTGCTGGTACCCGTTTTCAGGCTGAGAGTTCATGTCGCCATGTTGTCTCTCTGAAAAAGACACATCCTCTTGAACTTGTACGTGTGCACGCCCATACGCCGTACTGCATGTGTGTGTGGATCACAGAGTGAAAATACTCTCTTTTATCATAACCCCGTGTGCAAGTTGCTATCCCGACTCGCTGGAGAGAAGCTGTGCCAAATGAGGCACTGCCATTGTCAGCAGGGTAACACCACAGGGTCAAGGGTCACGACAGGCACCGTAAAGTCGGGCTGGCTCTGAGCTGTGGACTGAGCTGACCTCTCTTGGAAAGAGAGGATAGAAGAACAGCAGGGAGTGTGTCCGGGAAAAAGGTCCGCTTCATCATATTTGCCAGAAAAGGCTTTGATTCTAAAATGGGATCAACTATAAAAAAAAAAGTGAAGGGTTGCATGAAAATAAATTAAAGAGATAATTAACAATATTCTACATCGCACACAGAGGCATGTAAGGTGGAACAGAATACTACTGTTGCCTACACATGAAACATGATCACATCATAGTATGTAGTCTACATACTGTATGTTTTTTGACATAACATTAGCCCATTCATAATGACTCTACTAATGACTTTAGCTTTGGAAATATCTGTCATCGTTTTCTTCCTTTAAATGTTTTACTAGGCTTGATACAAGTAAAACATTTACTACATTTATAATTGACAATCATTAAGGTCACAACAAACAACAACTTTAGATTATTCATATTTTTATTAATATATAATATTATGTATTATATTAGTGCAGCATAAGAAAAGCGAAAATTAAAAAGTATTTACGGTTCAGTCAAAAGCACAATTAAACTTCAATTAAAAGGTGGTAAAATACACTTTTACCAAAAATATGTTCTGGAGATTTGTTCACGCTGTGGGATGCACACTAACTAACCGCTGAGCTTAAACATTTTATTTTAACCAGTCCATTATTTTCAAAACCAAATATAAAACGGGAAACCGAAAACCTCGTAATCAAAACGTATCCTACCTGTGTTGGATGCGGATAAGGCGCCTCTAGTCTGGCAGTTTCCATCTCCGATGACAGGCATGTTGCGGCTGTCTGCCTCCCCTCACATGCAGTCAGAGGCCGAGCAGCTTTAAATACCCTCCACGCTCAGGCCTCACGGCTACCGTCCTCCATCCCCTGCGGTTCCCTTTGCACATGTTAATGCTATAATAAAGGCTATGCTGTGAGTCAGCAAATGTAGTATTTATGTAATGACTAGTTTTGGAATGGTCCAACTAATGCCATATTGTTGGTGTGACATTAGTCAAGATTTTGCTACTTTTCATTTGGTGATTAAATCTGATTTTCTTAAGGTCATTAAAAACACGTTGTTCCTTAGGTTAAAGTCCATTGACCAAGTCTGATTAAAAACAAAACAAAGTTTGGTGTCTTGGATTAATTGAAGCCTAATAAAATAGGCTTTCAGTTTACTGAAAGCGTCGCTTCTAATTCTTCATTGTCTCCCTTGTCAGCCCGCGGCAGAGGTCCATGAGCCAAAAAACGGCAAACATAATTGGGAAGATGTTTGCCGTGATAAGGGGCCTCCTGCTGCTTCACTGTCTCCCAGGAACAATGCGGTCACATAACTTTGTCTGGCGCGCCGGTTTTAATCTTGGTTGTTTGGAAACACACACATCCGTTTGAGAAGGTACTGTACTTTACACTGTACTACGATCAACCTAATTGTGCTCACACAGTAGAAACCATCTTTTCGTATTGTATAGTTCTATTTTTGTCAAGCAGTTTTGTAGTTAATAGTTGTAGTTAGTTGTACTGTGAGTTGGGCAAACGTATGTTTCATAGTGACAGATTTTTGATCAAAGCATGTAGCATAATTGTCACGGAGGACATGGGAGTCTGCCTAGTTTAGTCACACTTTTTGGCAATATGTGTGTGTGTGTGTGGGGGGGGATTAGGACTGTCTGAACAACCTTGGTTTCAGGGTTGATATGAACAACACATTCTCCTTCTAGACACTTCTCCATCTAGTCAGTCTCTACAGAGAGAATGTCGGTCTCGGCTCTGTCTTCGTCTGGAGAGGACGTGAAACACCGGGTCAAAGGAGCCGTCGTTCCGTCTGACAGCGCCGGGTGTCTCACAGTTGAGCTTGAGCTAAATTGACGGCTCGATGGAGAGTGATTAACAGAAGATAAGAAAAGGAACTAAAGATGGAAAGTTCGAGAACAGGAGAAGGATGTAATACAGGCATGATTAGGGCAATGAAGACATTTGAATTGGAGCGTAAAAGCTTGAGGAGAAAAAGGTAGAGGATATTGAGCTTGAAAAAAAGGGAGAAACTTGGTAGATTGCTTGCAGAGGCCCAAAAGGCAACATATGTTATGTCGAGAAATGCGATGACAGTCCAAACCGCATGCGAAGTTAAGTGAGTCAAACAACAGACAGCACCCTCTTGTGACACATTATAGAGATCACATTCATTATAAAAAAGCTGTTTGTGGAGAGGAAGTACTCCGGTCCTTTAGTATCATCATTTTTAATATTTTTTTTCATTCTGTAAAAGTGAAAGTCCTTAATTCAAATTGAAAGTACTTGGTTATTGGTGGATGTCCCTGGAAGACTTTCAGAGTACTCTTCTGGAAGGTTTTAGCCAGGAGGGGCGCTTCTCGTGAATGTGTTCGGTCTGTGGTCATTCGCTCTCACTGGCTGGTCAGGATGGACTCGTACTTTGAACTGGGCCAAGTTTCTCGCCATGTGTGCCTCTCCATTGTTAACGGGCAGCAGCTCCCTCTGCAGGGGGCCTGTAGCTGTTCAATGGGACGTCCTGTACTGCGAGCTACTCCCACCAGAAGATCAGAGCACAACCTTCTGCCCGAGTATTTTGGTCTCAGTTACTACTTTTATTCACGTCAAGGTGCATGGTGAGTTTTCTATAAAAATAGTTTCTCATAGCTAAGTTTTCACCTTTTATGCTTTATCTTTTAACACTCTTCCTCACTCTCAGTATTTAGAGTTTACCTGGCAAGATGAGAGTGACATTTGGGATTTTTCCCATCAAGGAGAACACGTGTGCTTCTCTGTCTAGTGTCACAGTTGTACTGTGTCTTATCAACCTCCTCCTAATGGCCCTTGTGTGCCGAAAGAACCACTGCCACAATTCCCGATTGGACCACACAAAATACCCCACTCCTCCCGGCCCCACGCCGTGGCCCCTTGTCGGCAATCTGCTCCAGATGGGCGACCAGATTCATCTTTCTCTAACACGCTTGAGGCTCCAGTACGGCGATGTTTTCAAGGTATGTACAGTAGAATGTTTTTGAAATGTTGTGGTCAGACAACATGATTGAGAATTTTTCTTTTTTTACTTCCGTCATTCGTTCCCTCCTTCACTCTAGATGCGTCTCGGCTCTTTAACCGTTGTCGTCCTGAGTGGGCACAACACCATCAGACAGGCGTTGGTTCGGCAGGGGGAAGCTTTCGCCGGGCGACCTGACCTCTTCACCTTTTCTGCCGTGGCCAACGGGACGAGCATGACTTTCAGTGAGAAGTATGGACCGGCCTGGATGCTCCATAAGAAGCTCTGTAAGAACGCCCTCAGGTCTTTCTCCCGGGCGGAGCCCAGAGAGTCTGGTGCCACCTGCCTGCTGGAGGAGCATGTCTGTGCTGAGGCAGCTGAGATGGTGGAGGTGATGTACGAACAAGCTGCTGCTGAGAGGGAAATGGGACACAAGGTGATGGGTATTGATCCGGTGGTGCCCGTCGTGACCTCGGTGGCAAATGTCGTCTGTGCCCTCTGTTTCGGGAAAAGGTACGACTACAACGATAAGGAGTTCCTCACTATAGTGCACATCAACAACGAGGTCCTGAGGATCTTCGCGGCGGGAAACATGGCTGATTTTTTCCCTGTGTTTCGTTACTTTCCGAGTCCATCTCTGAGGAAGATGGTCCAGCACATCCAGAGGATGAACGGATTCATGGAGCGCAGCATCGAGGAACACATAAACACCTTTGATAAGGTAAAGGGGCTGGTTGATGAAAAAAAACACAGCCAAAGGAAAATGCAGAATTACACGCTGACGCATCACAGGAAAATCAACCATTTCTATTCCACAGGATGAAATTGTGTTTTGATTTTAGGCTGTCAATGTTGATTGCTTGTTGAAAAAAAAAAGTAAAATGGGTGAAAAAAAATCCTAATTTAAAGGTTTAAAAGAAGGAGTTACAATGTTTCACATGTTTACCATAACCAAGCCACCAGAATGATGTGTTAAATATCTTAACACGGTATTAAGAATGACAACAAGAACACCAGTATGTATTATCTTAACCAGTCTATTGTAAAGCGACCACATTTTTAAAGTATAGTTTTCGTCATATCAGTCCTACTAATTTAACATTCACCACTTAATCTGGCATTGCACCCATACTGTAGTAGCTGTGAGTGAAAATCCAGCCAAAAAATAACAAACAAGTTCCCTGGGAAGGACCTTTGTTCTTGTGCAGAGTGGCTAAAATTTTTGCACGCACTCTAATTAGGAATTAGCATCCCACTGGATGACACGTGTCATTCCATAACTGATGGCAATAGTGACTTTGAACATTTATACTTGCATTATGTTCAATCATTATTGATGCAACGGGAAATTTCCCATCCTATCATGCGTGTTTCTGATTGCAGAACTATATTCGGGACATTACGGATGCTCTGATTGCACTCTGTGAGGACAGAGAAGAAAATCAGGATACATCTCTGCTCTCCAAGTCACAGATAATTCACACTGTCGTAGACATCTTTGGAGCAGGTGAACGGAGGCTCAACATTAAAAATGGATTATATTGATAATGACGATTACCCTCCTTTAACTGCAGTTGTGTTGTTTGTAATTTTCTAAAGGATTTGACACCATCATTGCTGGTTTACAGTGGAGCCTGTTGTACCTGATCAAGTATCCTGATATCCAGGACAGAATACACCAGGAGATAGGTACTGTCTCTCCTTTTTTTGTATACAAAGATGAATTATCATCCGAGAGTGAGCCAGAAAACTCTAACTGGCTCATGCAAAGGAGTTACCATATGCATCTTATCTAAAGACAAATAAATCATGCAATGGTGAATAGCGAGGCCCCGTCCAACTTCTGATGGATGAATGACTCAATTCTCATTGTCCCGAAATAATGTGACTAAATAATGATTTAAATGAATGAGCTGAACAAATCTGGCTGGAGGTTTATTATTCATGTGCCAAAACTGATAAAACTGTAATTAACTGTATATGGTGCTGCACACAGTGGCTGTAAATATTTGAGATATGGAATAGATCCAAATTGAATGGCTCCTGTTTGTCAGGAAAGTGCTAAAACATATGTTTGATTAACTATTTTTAATGAATCTCTTTGTATAACATGAATCATCACCACACGCATTTGATTATTAGGAATTATAAAAAAATATCAACCCAGGGACCTTCCACAAATCAGAAAGCCAGAGGAACTCAAAAGATCGCTCCAATTTGCTGACGCTAGAGCTACTTTTGAAGCGTGTTGACAGAACTGGTTCCGTCTGTTCTGAGGCACGTTGCATTTTCTGAGAGAGAGAGAGAGAGAGAGAGACAGGGAGAGAGAGAGAGAGAGAGACAGGGAGAGAGTAAGAGGAGACAGGATGAATCAGAGAGGGAGGCGCACACAACCAGAGAAAGGAAGGTTACAGAGTTGTTCCCACCCGACACAAAGGCAGTAACACGCAAGGCACATGATCTGAACACAGTTAGAAAAGTGTTCACTCTTCGCTCATTTTAATTGCAACTTAAGTCTGAGTATAAAGGCTACGAAATACTCTTGTGTAAAATAAAATAGCTTCCCAGTTTTCTGTTTCTGTTCTCTTTCGTAGACGACCACATCGGCATCGCCAGACTGCCCATGTTTTCAGATAAGCCCAAGATGCCTTTCACAGAGGCGTTCATGTATGAAGTGTTTCGCCACGCTTCATACGTCCCGTTCACCATTCCTCACTGGTAAAGCAGTAGTTCTGTTCACAGTACTTTCATGTTTGCAGTTTTGATGTTAACGCCTTACTCGCCGTTTTTTTCTCCCCTTCAGTACCACAAGAAACATCACCCTGAACGGATACTTCATTCCCAAAGACACATGTGTCTTCATTAACCAGTATCAAGTCAATCATGATCTGTGAGCACCAATAAATTTGACTTTCACAAAACAAGTGCATGAGTTAAGACTAACGTTATTCAACTCCTGCTTTTCAGTGGTTCATTGGTCTTTTTTTCCCTCCTAGCGACCTTTGGGGCGACCCGGACAGATTCCGTCCCGCACGCTTCCTGGGATCCTTGGGACTCCTCAACAAGGAGCTGACGGAGAAGGTGCTCATCTTCGGCGTGGGGAAGAGACGCTGTCTCGGTGATGGATTGGCACGTTTGGAGATGTTCGTGTTTCTCACTACGCTGCTGCACAGGACGCGGATTGAAAATGTTCCAGGTCAGCAGCTGGATCTCAGCACCGATTTTGGTCTGACCATGAAACCACGTCCGTATAGGATCACCATCTCCTCAAGGTTTTAGACCAAATGATGTGTGGAAGAGTGTGGCTGTTGTGGAACATCGCCACACACATTCTGATTATTGTGTTTAGTAGCCACCATATTTGGATAACCTAGTAAAGCCACAGATATACAGTTCCTCTAATCTTGGTGCTCTCCGACGAGTTTCTTATTGACAAATGTGATCAAGTCTACACATGAAAAACCAAAAGGGAAATATACTCTATTTGCAAAATTGTGTTGATAGCCGGACACAATATTCAAGGCAATTGAGGGTCATTCAAAGTCCTTCTGTGCCTGAACTTTAAGGTCCCTCAGCCTTCAATCAAACCGCAATAAAAAATTAACATGAAAACAGACCGTCATTAAAAGCCTTTATTTTAAAGATTGACTGTGAGCGCTTCAGGCCTCAAACAGGTCTCATATTAGAGTGAATCAATATTTACTTTAGTGGACACATTTCTTTGGTCCAGACTGTTTTGGATTTTGAATAAAATCTCTGACAAAACTGACAACTTTCTATAACTCTAAACATGTCAAATAACCTCTTGAAATATCTGATCATATCACCATATTATTTTAGGAAAATAATATAATATTTACTACAACATATCGATATTGTGGAGTAAAACTATTTTTGTTGAATATTGTACCATCTACACTGATAAGTTGTATCTATAACCTTAATAAAAATAGGGAAATGATTAACGTATGTGTTGCTGTGCCATTATTTGTCTATATTGTAGAAGTAGTGTAAATCTTAACTTGTGTGTTCAATGACTTACAAAAACAACTTTAGGCCTTTATTTACTGTATTAAAGGCATCATTTCCAGTCTTGCTGCGTGTGGTCATGTATACAAACCATTTGCAGTGGTGAATTTGTTCGTGTGGGTTAATTACCGAAACAAACTAAGATGAGACCTCGGGCCTCTCATCAACCCTGATCCCTCTGTAGTCTCTGTGTCTTTGTTCATGTCCACAGAGCTCACAGTATGATTTAAACTATCATTGAAGAATAAGCAAATCACAGTGAACATGTGCTGATGGCGTCCGATCTAAAGGCGCAAATTAAACCCAGCACGCAAAGCGGGGAATCGTGGCTCTAATGTGGCGCAATGCAGAGGAGAACTTGTGGGCCCAACGGTTCAGATAAAGCAATAACGAACGGTTCAAAATCATATCAAAGAAAGGAAAACCTTGAAGGCCTAGTTAATTTGTTTTATTGACACTGACAAATCAAAAAATCGAAAATCTGCTATGTTCCCCTTCCAAAGATGTAATTAAGGTGTTTTCACCATATGTCATAAAGCTCTAGTTTTAGTAGACATTTTGTAAAAACAAAACAACCCATGATTGAGAGACCATTCCCATCCATGGGGTTTGAGTATAGGAATAGAAGGAGTTAATTGACCCTAAGGATGTAACCTCTCTAATAGGCCACAAACTAGTCGAATTTTCCCACTTGCATGACTTCCTATCTGTCTCTTGGGTCAAACATGGGGCCCTGTTCTGTGGGGGCCTCATTCTATAGACCGAGGCATGCAGCACCCGTTGACAAACTGCACGCAACTGTGCAGCCCAATAGTGATGTCATCCGTTCTGAACCGTCACCTATTATTCAACACCACAAGCATCCCCTTTCCAACCCATATGTTCATATGCAGGTCATCACATTGATTATATCCATCGAACTAATACGATTCATTATGTCATCACTGAGGTCACAACTAAACCAATACCTATTTTATATCGCCCGTCGTAATTCACTGTTTTGTCTTGAATGAAAGATTTGAGCTTCTCATCAAGGTTGCATTCAAATGGAGTGATGTTCATAATCAGAAGGGTTTTGGCATTTCCACCCTGAGATGGATGAACTACATCCCTCTCAGGTTTTATTTCATTCAAAATCCAAAGTATGCTGCTTGTATTTCATCACATGTGTCAGTTTGCTCTGTCTGTATGGCACACAGGGAGTGGAACATCTCGTTCTGATTTATTATCCTTACAAAAACATCTGAGCAAACCTTTAGCTGGTGGTCCTTGGCACCGGTCTTGGCTGCTCTCCCACTGGCTGCCAGGTCCACGAGGTTCAGCTTCCCGCTACTCACACTCCCATTGGTCAGACTTCTGCTTTCAACCAGGATGCAAACAATGAGATGGGCGCGAGAACGCTCCAAATTCATCTCTTGGGAAACATCGGGAACAACATAAAAGGCTCTTAATGATGGGTTACCCTCTGGCCCGCAAATACTCATTATTTTCTTATTATTGAACTGGAATCTTAAGACCAGCATTCAGAAAAATTGATGGTTTTGGTTATTATCTCAGAAAATAATGGAAAGTGATACATAATAATTATGAGATTGCAATTTCCTAGGACACAAGAGTCTTAAAAAACAGTTTAAAAACCATATAAAACAGAAAATGTTCAAATTTCAATATGACTTAAATTATCAAATGATTGCAATGAATAATTGAATCGTCCAGATCTTGTTAAGTTGTATATGATTACAAATGGAAGGAAAAGTATAATTAAATAATAATTATAATTAAAACTGTATTTAAATGAAATAAAAACAATAGTTAGTAAGGAAAAGTTCACTTATAACCAATCTGGTCCTTATAATATATTATTCTACTAATTGTGGTCAATTCATTTTTAGTGTTCCCTCTGATTGAAACACTAGGCTCATCCTATAATGACTCTGGTGACCTGAGTGAGTCTTTAAAACAAAGGGTGTCCTCTTCCTACAGGATGCTGATTCACAGTTTGGCTGCTCAGCCACTCACCGCCCAGTCCAGTAATGATGTACCTAGCTGTCTCTCCGCCACACTGACTGTAACTAACGCAATTAATCCAAACCATTTAGCAGGGCCCGGTTTGAACTTGGCAGCATGGCACGGTACAGAAGAACTCACTGGTGGAAGCGATGTTTTCTGTTGGCGCAGGCCTGCTGGAACAGAGCGCAAAGCTCCTGGGCAGTGGAGGCCCCTTTTTTGTCTCTGCTCCTTGGCCAAACACAGCCCCTCTTCTGCTCCTCTTGATCTCCACCCGCCTTGCCGGACTATGGGACTGGGGCTGTGCCTGGGCCTCACCAGCCGGGCTCACAAACGGGTCCCGCAGCCCGTCACTGTACAACGCCAGCATATAGGCCGAACCCTGAGGTAAAGGATGGAGGTCGAGGAAAGGAGGCCGTTGAGAGAGGCCATGCAATTGATGTTTCCCATCTCCCAGATAAGATCAAAAGACTGTGAAGTCTAATTTGGTGCTGTTCTCCTGTATGATATGGCATTAAAAGATCTTGGCATCTTGGCAGGTGTAGGTCTTCCCAGAACCCCTTTTGCCAAATGCAAAGATACAGACATTGAGACCTTGAGAAGCCTCAGCATGGAACACCATGTCAAATTGAAACTCCCTCGGTCCACGAGGTGTCGCCACAGCGATCGTCTATTTTCTCCACAACGATGGTTCACCCCAGGACAACCTCTGTTTGGTTCACCGGTCAAATCCAGCCAAACACTCTGGTTTTACCTAAAAACAAAATGTAATTGTATCAAAAAGCGAGGGTTAAACTGAAACATACATGTCTTCCACCATGTGGAAAGTGTTGGTCAGAAGCTGCTGACGCTGTCTCTGTGGTTACTAATGTCCCAGGATGTCCTCCAGCTCTGAGAGAGCAGTGCAGTCTGAGAGGAACAGACATGGATACAGGAGATGCACATGTGAAGCAATTGTAGCGCCAGTATAGAATCATGTGTTATACAACTAGACTAATGGACGTGGGTCTGGACAGCTTTTGAAGATTTGAGAATCACAGTTGATAATAAAAAGACTCTTGAATGTGTATGAGTCCAATCTAATCACTAATTTACTCCAGTCAGCATATTTATTGTTCATTTACCATTTGTTACAGGACTTTCTCCACTTTTAATGCAGCCAACTGAGACACCTTGTAGCCCCACACAGTTTCTCGTGCAAAGACGCATATGACTCATATTCATCTAACTTGAGAAGTGGAAGAAAAACATTTTGATTATTGTTATATTTCAGACAGTTAAAGGAAGGTAATATGGAAATTGTCTTAATCTAACACTGACACTACCCGTGGCTATTCTAACCAATAAGAAGTCATTTTTTGTTTATATCGTCAGACTGTTTTAATGATCTCTAACCGGTCTTGTTCAGTGGTCTCTCTGTCTTTACTGTCTTTACTTTCTTCTTTGTCCATCTGCTGACGGTCTACTTTATCTCATGCTCTGTGAGCTCTGGTCTCATCCACTGCACTGCAGATAGCATGAGCCTATACAACAAAACAAAGTGCTATGAATAGAACTAAGTCATGAAATCAAGGTGATGTCTAAGACAAACAGGATGCAGAAAGTATTTTCTCCATCCAGCTAAATAGGGAATACAATATTTAAATTAATTCGATACACGGGTAGTTAGCATTTGGTTTACAGGCTGCATACTTGAACAGCACTTTGTGTACGTCGGTGAGAAGCAGGATGCTGCAGGGTGGCTGAGGGATGGGAGGGATGTGACTCTTCTCTGCCTCCAGCAGCTCAGTGATCTCTCTCCGTCTGCTACGGACTTTCATTCAGTTCCTCCAGACGCACTTTAGGTCCCTCCAGTGGGCGATCTGATTCATTGCAGGACTGCATATGGACACCCCGACAGCACAGACTAGTCATGAAGACCTGAAACTTCCCTAAAAATTAAAACACCAATGGGAGGGTATCAGGGAGTTCTTAATAATTTGACCATTTTCTAATTATTGTTCCTCTGAAGGTGTCTCAGAAATAATTTTTTGCTATATAATTAGAACCGTAGACAATGCACAGATATGATCAGTAGACTGCCATTGGAACCGATTCCAACCCACTGTTGTCGATCTGGAAGTCCTTTCAGTGTTCACCTCCCTCAACGACTTCCTGCTGATCCTGTGATAATGCTGTCAACACTTCTTGGACTTTCCCTACTCCGTGTCTTGCCATTTGCAGCTCCTGCAGTGCTGACCAGAGTCACAGGAGACTCAGCCTGCTGGTGAACAGTTCCAGCATTTTGCTCTAAAAGAATGACCAGAACAACGTTGGTCTGAAAATTGTGCATGACATTTAAAATGTATCCTCATATATGGTAACAAGGATGTGCTCCGGTTCAGAGAAGCACAAAAGAGTTTATGAAGACCACCAGATTCCTTAGTAACCTTTTCTCTAAGCCACTGCAGGGCATCCTCATTACTCCTCATTCTATCCGCTGTCTGGTGTTCCACCAGCTGCTCATTCTGTGCAGTCAGGGCCTGCAGGAAAAATGAAGAATACATCTGTACATGAAACTGTTTAATGTTTCATTTACATCCCCTGTAAAATGACAGACGAAGGGTGGAGAAGAGTTTGAGTGTTTTTTTTTTTAAACAGTAAAAATGGTAGTGAGAACTAAGTGGTCTACATGAGAGTTGCAGAGGCCGGCATCAGATACCAAGGAGAAAGACAGGAATAGGAGTTGATTAGGCTTGATATGTAAAGGCACTTTGGTAGAAGGTACTGAAGGAGAGATTGGCTGACCGTCACTGACCGCAACGCAGTTCTCCCAGTCAGCGTTCTACTTCACAACCTTCTCCTGGCAGAGGTTTTGTCACCGCGGTGAACTTGTTGGGGTTGTTTTATTTTGTCTGGTCTTTTGTCTTGTCCTTTCCTGTTTTATTTTGAAATGGTAACTCTCCTCTCGTTTCTGGTCACTTACTCTTTTGTTTTGATAATCTTTCATAGTGCCTGCAGTTTTAAGGAGCGTTTTTTTGTTAAGTGGCGTGGCCTCCGTCTAAAAGAGTGCTTACCCAGTATTCTGATAAAGTTAAAAGCCTTTTTGTTTTCCTCCTTTTTATTATTATATTTTTATAGCTCGTATTTATTTCTCTTCCCTGGAGAGATCCAGTCTTACTAATGAAGACTACAATTCCCTTAAAACCCTGCAACTGTGTCCTGCCGGGCCGTGACAGGTTTAGGATTATCTTCAGTGTTCATCTTGCTCTGGTGATTTGATCTGATCCTCTGCGTGGTCCAGATCACACAATCACCTGTGCATCACTGTTGCGGTGTATTGGGGCCTCTCCTCACCTGGTTCTCTCATGCAGTGGCCTGAAAGACCTCTCCCAGTTCTTGCACCATTGCCAGGTGTTGTCTCTTCATCGCTTTCATGTTCTCAGTTATCTGGTTCTGGATTTGTAGTATGCACACAAACACCTCACGTATACACAAAATGGCATCCTGGTTGCCTTGCATATCTATTGCCTTCCAGGCCACACCAGCAGCATCAGTGCAGCCATGTGAGCGTGAAGAAAGAACACAACACAGCACTGACAGGGACTTCATTGTGCATGCCCTCTCACTGAACAACAAACACAGAGTTAAGTCACATGTCTTCTTAAAACACAGTTTCATTAGAGTTTGGAGTCATCTGTTTTGTTGGGTGGTACAACTGGTGGTATAACTCCTGGTCTGTGTGGCTTCCCAGCAGTGATGCTGGTTATTTTACCTCAGTGATGCAGAGCTCTGTTGACTCGTATGGAATGTAATTTAATTTAATACATATTCCACTGTACATACTTTCACTTAATATGTTTACCCTGCTATTTAATTTTATTTACTGTGTCTATATTGTGCATTTTTCATTCTCACTTTATGTACTGTACTGCTGCTATTGCACACAAATTGGGGATTAATATTTTTATAATTAAGTTTATATCCATCTCTATCTATGTATGTCTTGAAATCTTGTTGGCTCTCAGACAGGCTGATCAGCATCACTGCTAGCTGGCAGATTAGACTCTAATGACCCTGCACGAATAACATGCTGTAAATCAACATGCAGTATACAGGCAAATAAAACATGAATCCCAGTTAAACCATTTACATTTTATTTATAGTATTTAGAACATGTTTTACATTATTATGATGATGAGAGATTTGAGTGCAATTTATTCTGTGATTGAATTTTAAATTGGTCATGGTCAAATGTTTTTGGTTTTGGTTTTGGTTTTCATGTTAATTCACTAGCGTGACCAGGTTAATTAAAAAAAATGGAAATTCCATAAAATGCCCCTGCTATGAATATTTCAACACAGTTGTCTCTTACATTCCCCTCGGTCCCTCCCTCCCCCCTCTGCGTTGCCTCAGACAGGAATGTGGGTGTGCCGTCACGCTGCGACTTTTTTCTCAGAAACACCTTTCACCAGAGAAACAGAAGTTGTGTCAGCATATACAAAGAACAGGTTTTAAAGGTTCTGATAGCTAACTATTGTTTGCACTTGTGTAATTGTGTGTTTGTGTGTGTGTGTGTGTGTGGAGTGAGGGTTGCCCACCTGCAGTGCTGCCCGTGTGCTGCTCGAGCTGAGTGTTGTCAACTATTGCAGACTCGTCCTTCAGCTCTGGAATGCTGCCCGGTAAATCCTCCTGCACGTGGGCTGTGACGGGGGCCCGTCCAGGCCGAGAGGAGGACACTGGGCCGTCATGGCAGTCAGACCTGTCTGTTGTCGCCCAGGCGTCTGAGGAACAAAGAAACAGCCAGTGGGTGTGTGTGAAGTGAGGAGGACATTTTGACATTCAAAGCACGGAACGACGTGGAGAGTCTTGAGGCATGGAGTACATTAAGGATGCAAGTACGCATGGATGTAGATTTAGATGACTTGCTAAGGTTCCATGTTAAAGGAAGAACAAACATATTTCATTGTACAAAAACAGAAGATGCGTACATATATCTCATAGACCGGTGCACACAAAACATTCTGCATTGAATTTCTGTAACAGCTAGAGCCCCACCAGCAGTTCTTTGTAGCTGGCAGTAAAGATAAATGTGCATACTTCAGTCTTCATACTTCTTGCCAATCTGGTTCTAGCTGACCTTCGTGTTCAGATCTTCAGCCAGACCCACAGTTTGTTCTGATAAACTGTATCTAACTGAACCCTTCAGCCTGCAAAACAGTATTTACTCAGAATAGCTTCTTCTATAACCTATGATATACGATACAGATATTGACATTATGCAGATGAAGAAACACTTTAGGTATTTATTTGATGTTTTACACTCACTTTGCTTGCCTGCGGGGGCCACAGAGTGATGTCTCCCTACTTTCTTTCCCAGGAAGGTCAGTGAATAAGATCCATTCTCTGCTCCAGATGAGTTCACATACATTGTGTATATAACTAGGAGTTGGCTGCTCTTGTTTTTGGTCTTAGTGTTGGAAAATATGCAATATTGTCCAAGATCTGCAGAGAAAGTTAAGGTTAAAGTAGTTTTAAAGGCCCCATAGGCCCTCGAAAGTTGATAAAGTTTAAATTTATATGCAACGTAAGATCACAAAAGATTTTTCTTCTCAGCCTCTCCAAGCAACTATAAACTACAAACTTAAAAAAATAGAAAGTTTTTTTTTTTAATTTTACTGAACTAACAAATCTCATCTAATCTTACTTGGCAGGAATTGACCCGATGCCAGTAATTTTAGTGGATTAAATATTTGAATTCGCAGTAAAATGACATTTAAGAAACACAAAACGAAACCCATTAAAAAAATTCAAACCATGCATATGATTTAAGAAGAAAACACATTAGCATACAAAGGAATAGAAAACAGGAAAAATAGAACAGAGTAAAGAAGGCCTGCTGATAAAGACTCTACCTGGTCTGATCCCATCGGTGTGATTCACTCTGGTCTGAGAGCTTCTTCTGACCGGGAACGCAAAGAACGCATTGATCCTGAGCAGTCTTTAAATATTAAACCTGCAGGGATGGAGTTTCACCGAGTACTGGCTTAAACGCTACAGAGTCTGCTGGTAAAAGGATGACCCAAACGGTCCTCAGGTTTCCTGTGTGTGAGATAGAGATTGTAACTGGACGCCATCTCGTACACACACACACACACACACACACACACACACACACACACACACACACACACACACACACACACACACATATACTTTAGTTCATAAACAAACTCACTTCATTTGGCCCCTCTGGTTTTTGTTTGTTTTCCTGGAGAGACTGCACACTTTGGCCAGCCATTTGATGAAGTGATTATTTTAATTATTAGACTCATTTAGCAGATTTGGACGACAGCCTGAGCATTTGTTTAATACAACTTACTTAAAAGTTAAATCCACCCACTATGCCGCTTGAATTAGAATGTGTCTTGTATCTCCTGCTCAAAAATCCAAACTCCGCCCTGACCATATTCCATTGTGGATAGACGGTGTGTCACTTTGTCAAATACGACAACTTCAACATGAGGAAATAGTGTAGCAATCAGCACGCGTATACGGATCCCAACAGGAAAAGTGACGTCTTTCAGTACAGAGCATTTTTTTTAGAGGTCATCAAGGTCCTGTGAAGTCTTGTTCATTTGGACTCTCCCTTATAGTGTAATGATAAGGTATGACTGGGCTAAAGGGATGCAGTCATCAGTAATGTGTCGTAATAGTCTGAATAGTCAGACACCTGGGCCTGGCTATGCTGCCATGACAACAACACACCTTAAAGAAATGAATTACCCAATGGCGACTTTTGTTGAGAAATGGTGGCCACTCCTGCAAGTACTTTTAATCTGACGTATACGGGGATTTGGATCAACAGAGAGCAGAACACGGGTTCATTCGATGAGGTTTAAAGTTAACTACCGAGAAGTCAATGCTTGTGCAAGAGGTGAGAGAGGGAATGTCCAGTAACGCCGAGATCGACAAAAGTGACAGGTGGCTGCTTTCTTACTCAGAATGGCACAGACCAATTTCAGAACGGCATGTAGCGGCATGGACCCGCCTCCTCATCCATATGCGAATGTCATGTAAATGAGTATCTTTTACAACTTTATGTTCTGTCACTGAAGACTCGAGGCATGTTGGAAAATGTAGTAGTTAGTATTATATTTAAAACACACGTTTCTATGAGATCAAGAGGGAAAATACACTGCTATGAATCTCTTTATCTCTGTGAAAGGTGGCCATGGATTGAATCAGACCGCTCACGAGTGCTACATGTGAATCACTGACATACCGTTTATATGATATGAACATGCCATGTATGTATAATATACGTGTCACTCTTGGATGCTAAAAAAGGTAAATAAATAAACCGAGAACCCATTTTCCAGTGAGTGCTTAATGAAATGAGTCTGTGTACGTACACACACGTTGTTCGCTTTGATTAGTCAGACTGGCTGTGGAAAGTTATCGAAACATTGGCCCAATGACCAGTTTCATTCTATATGATTAAATACAGAATCCCTTTATGTTAATTTATAAATTCAGCCAAGGAAGAAAATTGCCGAGATAAAAAACAGATACATGACTTTATTTAAGACACTGTGCTACTTTCAAGTCGTTGTGTTGTGCAAATTTCTCAATAAAGTTAGAAAAAAAACATTGAGTGCAACGTCATTGTGTCTTCTAGCTAAGGAAGCAGCAATAACATCAAACTTTTTGTTATCGGCACACTGTGGATTCCAGCAGACACGCGTGTTCCTACCACGCAGACTTGTATTCAACCCCCCCCCACCCTCCCACCAGCAGAAGCAAGCGCGTCACACGTAACGTGACCAAGTGACACAGTGAAACAACAAAACCTCAGATCATATGATACTTTAATCATACGAAACCATAATAGTATATTAGGGATGGATTTCATTTAAACCACATAACACAAGCACATGGCAATAGAGGGACGGTTTATTAATAGAATAAAGAGGCTCTCCTGCGCACTGCAGCGCGCGCTGATGTGGCATCCGGAGGGGAGAATGGGCCGGACCCGTTACTAGGTGGGGTTTATCCCGGGTATAAATGAACTCTCTCTCCCTCCCTCTCAACAACGCCCCAGGAACCTCAGTCAGACGAACTTCTCCGACTCACCGACACGCGGTAAGACGTTTTTCCCCTTCGACGCGAACCTCAAATCCTTTCTCCGGGTGTTCGTTAGAGAGTTTGCGGAAGTTTGGTGCGACGCCTTTAATGTGCGTCTCCTTCAACGCATTGATGCAAACACGAGGGTGTGGTTGGGAAAACGGAAGCGTTAATCTAATTCACTACGAAGGCGGAGTTTTTACTCTATCAATATTAAAACTCATTAAAGGCAGTGGACTTTATTTCTGCATACTATTGTAATGTGTCCTGGTTTGCCTTTGCGTGGCAAAGCGCTTGGAGTTTCCACATGTTTGCGATTATATAAACGCAAACAACATAAACCCACAGTAATTATGCACAGGGCGTGATCGCTTCAGAAGAGGGTGAAGGGAAAACAAAATGAGTTATTTCTGTTTTAAAAGGTTTAATAGATAATAAATGTACTCGAGGAAAAAAACAACTAGTGATCCATTTTTTTAATACAATCTACAATATAATGAGTGATCCCATCTTCTCTTCTCTGCAGGCTCCAGTAATCCCAGTAATCCCACCATGTCTTTCATCCAAGCCTTCCTGCAGCAGACAGTCTATATGGGCCTGCCCGATGACTCAGTACGTACGGCTCTGGTTCTGTTTCAGTTGCCAAGGCCAACAACCTTGTTTTTTTTTTTTGATCTTCCTGTGTCGGTGGAAATGTTTGGTCAGGCAAAAGAGAGCAAGAGAAGTGTGGAGAGAGACACAAAGGGAAAAGAAGTAGGTGGGGAAAAGGAAGAGAAAAGCAGTGGAGCAGAGCGATAAGAAGCAATCTGCTTTTTAAGGGAAAGGTCGACTGGACTCTTAAGAGTTTATGTGATGAGAAAAATGGGCATTCCTGCTGGCGGGTGACTCATTGTACCAGGAATCTGCCCCCTCCCTTATACAGCCAGCAAACATAACAGAGCTCTACTTCTGTTTTCCATGGCTTCTTTAAAGTGAACTATGGGGAAGTTTCATATCGTCGTCCTACGGGACCTTGTTTGTGCTAACGGGCACCTTACTTTTTTGTTGGCATGGAGATGTATGGGCAGGGGCTACACAGGTTTTACGTCTGGCCATATTGTCTCCCACACAACGCTGGTTAAGTATGTATTTACCGAACGCACAATATAATCTGTGTTGTGACTTGCAGCTCCTGCAGAAGGAGGGAACTGTGACTGCAGCACCCAATTTCAACTCCAGTGGCGATGCGGGAGTCTTGGAACAGGCCATCAAGGCAAAAGGTGAACTTGATGTGCACACAGGGAAGCTTTGGAGCATGAGTCAAGATGTCTCCGATTTGGAAACTGTGATTGTGCTAGAAGTCTGGCATGTTGGCCTCCAATGGAAGAACTTTAACATCCTCTGCTGGCCATCATGCACCATTACAGCTCCCAGTCTAATCACCGTTGTAGAAAGTTGATCAATCAGTGCTACCCTAAGTCTGTGTGTGTGTGTATGTTTGTCATACAGATACAGGATAAAATAAATGATGATTCTACTTGACAATGTATTCTCTGTGCAGGTGTGGATGAGAACACCATCATTGAAGTCCTGGTGAAAAGGAGCAACGAGCAGAGACAGCAGATCAAAGACGCTTACCAGAAAGCCAGCGGCAAGGTAATTCAAATTGAATAAAGTGTCACACACACACACACACACACCTGCATGTTCACATGCTCTCAAATGCTGTACCTGCTAATCGGTTGTTCTTTAGTCTCTGGAATCGGCACTCAAGAACGCTCTGAAGGGAGATCTGGAGGAAGTGGTGTTGGCACTCCTGAAAACACCGGCCCATTACGATGCCCAATTGCTGAAACTGGCAATGAAGGTACACACACACACCTGAAAACAACCGCTCAAAAGGAACGCTGATATACATAATAACTAATGCTCATACACCAAGCGTATTTGAGGTGAATTCATGTTATTTTTTTTGAGCATTTAATAGGATCCACATACATGTATTTTATTGTAAGAGGTGCAAGGTGTGCTTTGTTTGAATGGGGCTAGTAAAGCATGAGGCATCTCTCTGTATCGATCAATCCATATACTTTCATCCTGTTCTCAGGGTCTGGGCACAGATGAGGACGTCCTTATTGAGATTTTGGCTTCAAGAAACAACCGAGAGATCATGGATATAAAAAAAGCCTACAAAGAAGGTGCGTGTCGACAAACCTCAAGCAATGTTCTCCATTAAGCTAGTGTTAAAAAAAAAAAGATTTCACATTGATAATGTGAAATGTTAATTGTTTAATGTTTTTTTTTATTTGGGATGTGGTTTTAACATTTTAAAAAGCGCTTTATGCAACCTGATGTCTGATATTTCAAACATAATTTCATATCTATGTTTATATCGGCACTTCTTCATTAAGATTACAAGAAGGACCTGGAGGCTGACATCAAGAGTGACACCAGTGGAGATTTCCGGGCTGCTCTCCTTGAACTCTGCAAGGTACGTGTGTCAACACTCCATTTTAATGTTCTGCATTTCATGCTGTACTTTTACAGGATTTTGAAGACTTTTATTCTGCTACAGAAACCTATTCATTGGCAGCACCAGGATGTGTTAAGTTCTGAGGCAATATAACACCTCCTACTGTAGCTGTTGACGGTGCACTGTAAAGCTAATCAACAAACTCACTCTCTTGATAAACACTTGCATGCCATCACAACATTTCTTTTTTTTTTTTTCTTTTTTTTCTTGGACCTCTTACAACACAAACTATATTTTAGATGAAACTGATGGCTACATTTTGAAACTGTGTGCTTGTTTCTTATTGTCATTTTAAAGTCCGTTATCAAGGGAGTATATCACTTTATTGAGCATCTTTTACTTCATTTTGCTGTATAGAACATTTGGAGTAGATCATTAATAAGATGAGGCTACAGTCTCACAGCTGAAATATGCGATGGCTCGGTTATAGTAGGCTTCACCTTCTGTTGTCCTTTGTGTACAGGCTAAATTAGTTTTTTGAATTTAAAACCGCTTGTTTGCCGTCCTGGTTGTATTCAGCACTGTGACGTGTCTGCTTGTTTTCATCACAGGCCAACAGGACTGAAGGAGTGTGTGAGCAGATGGTTGATAGCGATGCCAGGGCTCTGTACGAGGCCGGGGAGGGAAGGAAGGGCAACAATTGCTCTGTCTTCATTGAGGTCCTCACCAGCAGGAGTGCCCCTCATCTCCGTAAAGGTTAGCTGGTTCTACAACATGTTCAGTAAAATCATTTTGTTTATGCTTGTGTTCGTCAGATCTAACACTCCTCAACTACTTCTTCTCCTTCAGTGTTCGAAAGGTACTCCAAGTACAGCAAGGTGGACATGGCCAAAGCTATCGATCTTGAGATGAAGGGAGATATTGAGAGTTGTCTCACAGCAGTAGGTGAGGTGACCACCATTGAAGCCAACCTTCCTTAGTCTTGTGATTTAAGCCTAGACTTAATTCAAACTTCACCTCCCTTTTTTTTTTTTTTTTTTTTAAAATAACCACAGTAAAGTGTGCTGGAAGCCGACCTGCGTTCTTTGCTGAGAAGCTTTACTTGGCCATGAAGGTACAACAGAAGTGGGGTGTTGGTTACAAGCATTTCATTTCCATGCCATCTACCAAGCGGCCTTCCCTGACTGTTTTGTGTCCAACAGGGTAAAGGTACCCGCAAAAGTATCCTGACGCGCATCATGGTGAGCCGCTCTGAAATTGATATGAAACGGATCAAGGATGAGTACAAGAAAGCCTATGGCGCAACTCTCTACAGGGCAATTCTGGTGAGCAAACGTGATATTGACAATGAACCCTTCCTACATGCACTTAAAGTGTGTGATATTCATGTGGTTTACAAAACCACAGGCGGTGGGAAATGGTGTACAGTGTGAACATTCTTTAAAATTTTTCTTTTCTTCAGGATGACACTGCCGGTGACTACGAGAAGATTCTGCTTGCTCTCTGTGGGAGTGAAAACTAATCGCCAATCAATGGGATCAAGGCTCATACACCTAAAGAGCCGGCCCGCCAGCACAAAATCCCCTATAATCCTTTGACACATATTGTGCCCTATATGCTCTTGTGGAGAACTGACCAGACTTGTTTCAACAGCAATGCTCAAATGTTAACACAGAATTGCCACTCCTTCAGCAGATATTTTCCCTCCACGTTATCTCTTTTCACTCCTAAACCCGCGTCGCTGTGTAGTGCTTCTCATTAGATTGTTATATAGCCGGTGTTTGAGGAGAAGCTAAAGTCAGTGATCACAGTGCAGATAACCAATGTATGCAGATCACTATGTGCCAATCATCATATTCCGCAGCAGTTGTCCTACTCTCGAGCGAGCTCGGACAACTTGCAAATAAAAGCTTTTGTATGAAAACTGAGTGGTTTTGATGCGTTTCATATACAGGACCAGGCAGACATGATTCAATCTATTCTAAGCTACATTACCAACTATTTATATACTACACACACACAGCTCTGGGTGGAAGAAACCCACCACTGGCTTCCATTCCGGTGTCTGTTAAATTCCAATACAGGCACACCTGATTCTACGTGAAGAGGTACTGATTAGTAGATCAAGTGAACCAAATCTTATTTAATGAAGAAAAGTAAAAACCAGTGATGTGGTGATCCCTCACTAGGGGGTAGCAAAAACGTAAAAGTAATTGGACTTAATAATAGGTTTATTTTCCAGCAGGACCAAGCACCATGCCACACAATCTGGTCAGTGAAGGTGTGCTATTTTTCATTGTTCAAGAACAGATCGAAACGCCATCTTTTATTTTGACCAATCATTTTTTTGCGAATAATTGATATTAGACATTGGGGAGGAACGTTGTCAATATTTACCAGAATAAAACCGTTTCATTTTGGTCCAACACATACAAATAGTAATTTATTTTGTTCAAGTAGTCTACAATTAAACCTGTAGTATCCGTAAGCAAACAATGCGCCACTGACCAATGAATCACGCACCTGGTGATCTATTGTATACCTTAGTGTCTTTGGACCTCGGGTTGGATGCTTATATATATATATATCTATATATATATATATATATATATATATATAAAATGCTTTTACGTTACAATTCGAAAATATACACGACCCCTTCTAGTCTGCCATCTGGAGAAGAGGGATTGCTGTCACAAAACCTGGCAACCGCATAGCTCATTCAGACCACAACTAATACAACCAAGAGGAGCACCTTCACCAGTTAGCGAACGCTAAGCTAACCAACTTGCCTCAGTAGGAGTTCATATTATGACATAAACAGAACTGTTTTCCTGATTGCAACACCATCCCTTGTGATATTGTCACGCTGTAAAAGAGTTACAAAGCTATTCGTTTAAGAGGGTTAGCATGGCAGCAAGCTAGCTAAGCTAACGGTAGCTCATCTGTCAGTTTGTCAACAAACTTCTCTGAAATGTTAGTAACGTCAACTGTAAGCAAAATGTCAGCGACACAAAGTCACGTTGATGTTCTGATAGAATTGAAATCATTGAAACGCATGTTTTTTGACGCAATATTGAATATTCTAATACCCTTAGCTCCTTCGACTTTGATGAGCTAACCGTAGCTGGGTTAACGTTACCGATAACTGAGCTGGGCAGACTCCGATAGACCGTAAAACAGCAGGGAGGACGCATCCTTTTAAGGCTGCTGGAGGGAGCTGTGGCAGTCTTCAGTTACCCCGTGAGTTCTTTAACAAGGCTGTAACTACAGCATCAATAACCCTGAACCTCACGTTGTTTTTTTTTTGTTTTTTTTTCATTTCAGTTCGATCTCCCCTTTCATTCAAGAATGACCTGACCAATGGATCACAGTCTCTGCTCGATTAGAGGGTCTCTCGTGGATGTAGATCATGAATGACAAACTCGTCTTCCTGGGCCTGCTGTACTTTGTCCAGGGCATCCCCTACGGTCTCCAGTCGTCCCTGCTACCTATCTACCTGCGTGGAGCTGGTCATTCCCTTACGCGCATTGGCTTCACCAAGATCCTCTACTTTCCATGGGTCCTCAAGGTGTTCTGGGCCCCCTTCGTGGACCGGTTTGGCACGAAGCGCCGCTGGCTGGTGGGCACGGTGTCTGGGTTGGCCCTGGCGTGCCTCTCTAGTGCTGCCCTCGCTCCAGAAGCACATATCTGGGGAGTAGCAGGAACCCTGTTGGCCATGAACTGCTTGGCTTCTGTCCAGGATATTGCCGTGGACGGGGTCGCGGTGGCGCTGTTGAAAGGTCGCGGGGAGCTGGGCCTGGGCAACACAGCCCAAGTCGTGGGCTATAAAGCCGGATCTGTGTTTGCCGGAGGTGGGCTGCTGGCTGTGATCGACGTGGCTGGATGGAGCTGGATGTTCATGCTGCTGACGTTCGTGTACGCGGGCGTGGCACTGTTTGTGTTGGGGGCCCCTGTACTGGATGATGAGAATTTGAGGGGCCAACAGGCAGATGGCGGCAGGAGAGGTGGGCAGGGAGCAGAGGCCATGAGGCCGTGGAGAGTGTGGAGGAAGATGCTGGCAGTGCCGGGCACCCCTTGGACAGTCCTGTATGTGCTGACATACAAACTAGGTGAGTCCAATCAATGCGCATTATTGTTGAAATGACGACCAGACTGGTTTATTATTTAAGTACTGGAGGCCAATATTTTGTAATTGATCTCACCCATTTATCTTTGCAGCCTAGGCCTAATATAAACATGGATTTCATCTCTAAACCTTCCCAGATTAAACTATTGTTTGTTTTAAGGGCTGCTTCTAGACAATAATTTTCTTTGTCAATTGTTGGATCTATAATATGTGAACAAAATGGAACTAATATCCATTACATTTTCTAGATTATGTCCTCAAATCTTGAACGAATTCAATGTACAAAGATGTGATGTGAAAGGAAGCATATTATCACATTTAGAGAGGCTGGAACCAGAGACTTAAATTGTTTCAAATTCATTTTGATCAACTGATTAATCAATTAATATTTGTAGTTCTAATTATTTGGCTGGACTGGACAATAATTATACATCACTAAAGGTCGAAAGAAAAGAACAAATAGGAGCATTTCCATCTCAGCTACCAATAAATAAGGAACCATCTCATAAGCTTCTCCATTTTTTTTTTCAAAGCACTTTGAAGGACTGAAAGGTTTCCTGAAGTGGTCCTCTTCTGTCCCACCATGAAGATGTCTTTAGTTGTTGTCTTCATGTAGTAGCTTGAGCGCACCACCAGATGTCTCTGTTGGTGTGTCGTATCAACGATGCCAAACTATGAGGGAATGAGGGAATTGGGAAAGTTTGGAAAGTTATCTCTACTTGACTATTCATTTTGTCTTGTATGTACATTGGAAAATACAGGTACTGGTATTTTAATGTTTCAGGTGTAAAGAATAAACATTAGACCCTCGATAACGAAGATAATGTCAGTTTAAATTCATTGTGCTCTCATGCGGTAAGTTTTGTATGTAAATGAGATGGTTCCAAATAAGGAACCAAAAACTGAAAGTAGTTTTGGATAAGTCAAGCTTGTGTGTGTGTGTGTTAGGGGGGGGTGATGCGACCAGAGTTTGGTGTTTGGTAGCAGAAGGGGATTATGTAAGGATTACTGTCTTTGTGTCTGTTGCGTTCAGAAACCGAAACGGAAGACAGCGCATCATGCTGGTGCATGTTTTGTTTCTGTGTGTATGTGGGTGGTGGGAATATGATCGTCTCCTTATATTTGCATAGCCTCAACTTATGTATGTGCCGAATGTCCATACCTTTTGTTTTTCCACTCTTTGCGTGTGTGTTTTTGAGAGAGTTTTAAGAGTGGCTCAGTAATCGGATGAGTCCCAGCAGACGACACTACTAGACAAAATATGAAGGCTGACTGGACCCCTAATCTGTCTGGGTAGCAACCCCCCCCCCCCCATGTACTCTCTCTGTCAAACAAACACTCACCATCGGCTGATGCGCATGATTACAAAAGAATTACTGTAGTGGTTAGTGATTTCTCAGTGGATTCACAAACACCGTTATCGCTCATTATGTATTCCTGTTGTTGAACATTTCCTGTCTTTGCGAAGGGAAACAATATTGTATAATATTTTAGATTAGGCCTGGATGTGCCATCATAATTGCCTATTTGAGACAGTATTGTTTTTGTTCAAGGGGTGTGTGGGTATGTTTGTGTGATGTGCCTGTCTGAAGCCGCCCCCCCCGCTTAGCAAACACTGATGCACACACAGGAAAAGCCCCCCGCCCCCTCCCCCCTCATCTGTTCCTAATGAACTGTGAGTTTGCGCTGGGTCCAACAGTGGCCAACCATCGGGAGCCTCGTGTCTGACCTATGACCTCTGAGGCCGTAGGAGAGCTGTCTGGGTGGACTTAGAGGGACGGACGGATGGATGGAGGGCTTAGGGAAGGAGAGAAAGCGGAAAAGGTCAAAAAATAGGTAAACAAGGCTTTGAGCTGCAGATAAGCTCAAATGTTGGATTGAAACATTTTGATATCTTGTTGTTGTTGTGTGTATGGAATGCGAATCTTCCACAATCTTTTTAAGCGCAAAGTGTTCATTTCTATAATTTGACAATTTGAGGAACATCAATCCTTCAGCTATATCAACAACCTCAACGCTTTGAATTGAAATACTTTGCATTGCTTGTCCTCAGATGTTCTCATATTATTTTTCAATGATGGAATCATGTAACCGATGCCACCTTAGAAAAGATACTTTTTTTTTAAGGTAGGAGGTCAGTAGCCATGGATGCGTGACAAGTGACTTGAATGATGGTGATAAAGGCCCCCCCCCCCGTGATGGTGTCTCTCCCTGGGAACTGACCAGGTGGACGGAGAAATCGGATGGAAGGATGAACATGTAAAAGGAAAAGCTTTGTCCCAATATTCCTCATTAAACACAACAGTCAATGCTAAAATAAACCCAGTCATCGGTTTATTAGATAAATCTCATTAATAAAAAGGTTTTTAACCAAATATTAGCAACGACTCCTGCACAGCTCAATAGCATCAGACATGACATCCTTCACAATGAAATTAACACCACTCAAAATCAGTTTGAACAGAAGGGAGGGTTTACGTGCTGTTGTATTCGACTGTATTCATTTTAACGTAATAACCTGTGGAAGGGGAGAAGCTGGCAGACTCATGTACTCATGTTCATGGGAATATTGGAATGGAACCCACTTATAAAAATGGCCCTTGACAAGGTTCTCTATTTTCTTCTTGCATTTTTTAACGATGTACCATTACCCTCTAGTGTGCTTGTTTTCTCTTTTTTTATTTTAGCTTTACTCAACTTGCTTTGTAAAATCATGTCTCTCTCTCTTCCTTTGAATTTCTGAAGTACAAGTCGAAAGAGGAATGGGCCAAAAAAAAAATCTCTTGAGATTGCATATCACATGCTCAATTCGAAAGGGAAGAGTTGAGGTCAAAAGAGTAAAATGAAGACTTTGAAAGCACTGTTTGTAGGGTTGCAGTGATGGTATAAATACAGTCACACTTTGTCTCTTTAATTAAAAATAAATGTATGAAGGGAAATGTTTCCCAGCTCATCTGAAATACTGATACACTCAAACCAAACATAATAGTGTTGATATGAAACCAACAGACCCGTTAGAAGAGCAGTTTCAGAGACATTGGCGACATGCAGTCGCTGGTGGGTTTCATGGAGGTCATGGAGTTCTGAGATATGAAGGGAGGTGGAGGAGGGAGAATGAGAGAAACTTGGGGGGGGGGGGGGATTTCCAAAGGGAGAAATAAGGACTGCAGGGAGGGAGGCTGAAGGAAGGAATGAATAAATGAACAACCACCACATGGTGCTCTGAGAAAGACGGAGCGTAAACGGCAATATAAATAAACACACTTATCCATGCAGAGTACAAGTATCATTTTCATATCTTTCTGTGTCGTTAAAAGTATTCTTTGTCACAAATCTCACATAGTGAGCTAAATGCAAAGTTCATTTTAAATCTTTATGATGGAAAGCACCATCACATGTTTTCATAATGTGTGAACTTCCATTAAGTAGCGATGAAAATAAAGTTTTAACAGCATTAGAAAACACAAATAACTTCTATATTGTTTAAATTCAAAGGATACTTATTCACAGGTTCCCAGAATAATTTCGGCAAGAAATTTCCGCAGAAAACAAACAAAATCAACCCAGTAACCTAGCAGGTCCTGGTAATGGTGCTTCTCTTGCTTATGCATAGTTAAACAGTGTGAAGACCCACAGAAAACTCCTTGACATCTACATTGATGTAGTGTGTGTGTGTGTGAATCAGCTAATATGCAGAGGATGTTGTGCATTAACGTGGCTTTGTTCACTGGTTTTGTCCCAGGGAGCTGAAAGCTGTGTGTGTGCATGTGTATGCATATAGTCATTTGTGATGTTCGCTTTGGTCCAACATGTATGTATGTATGTATGTATGTATGAACCTGTTTACCATGCTGTCTGCAGTGTGTGATCATATTGTTCTGCAAGGGGACTTGGTGTCCTCGTTGATCTCTCCTGCTCTGCCGGCTCTTTTGTCTAAGCTGCAGGGAGGACATCAGGATTCGCCCCCCCCTGTCTTTGTCGACCTCTCGCCCTCGTGTTACCCATCGCACCCAAATCGTATTCTGTTCCCATCATTCACACATACTCTCAGCCCATTTCCCCATCTCAGACAAAACAAATTGTTTTATGAAGAATTTGTTCAACTGTCCTAAACCAACTAAAGTCAAAGGTGACTACTTTGTGTTTAAGATTTCCCGTGATGTTGTTTTTGTTTTTACCCCTTAAAGCATCTGAAATATTTTATGATTATATATTAATGTACTACATTATGCTAATCGCTCTCACCTGGACTGTGTCGACGTGATGTGATCAGATGTGATTGATGGTGTTGTGTATGAGGTCGACCTTTTCTAAAACCATGTTTCTCTAAAATGTAAACTTTTCATTTGCTTTGAAATGACCTGTTTTCAGGTTTGAGACAACGCATTTTTCAATGTGTTTGTACTTTGTGTAGTAAACTAAATGCAGCGACGCTCTTTTCATTGTAGCACTCTAAATCACTAAATGTTTTTCAATATGTACACCAACCCCACATTTGTGATCAGAGATGGAAACCTCTGTAGTGAAATATCCAAAATAACATAAGCAGACAATCCGATGGTTTTTTTTCTCTCCATGTCTTTATTTCGCAGTGCCTGCACCCCTTTATATGCGCTCGCATGTCTAGTAGGTGACTGAAGTCACAACGCACCTTTTTAAAAACCGTAGGATAAAAAAAAAGACGGCCTGGTTACTTCTCGTTATATTGAATGTTTTTCTCTTTATGTGCTGTCTGCCTCTGATGCCAACAGTGTTTTCTGTGAGTCTGCCATCCCTCATCTCTAACCTCCTAACAATGCCTCTGTTCATCCCCCGCCCGTCTCCTCCCGTCCTCAGCCGTCTCCATCACATGCTGCTCTCCCATTTTTTTCAGTTGTCCACATCTTTTTTTTTGTAGGTTTTTAAGATAAATGCATTACAATTGTCATTTCCTGCTCTTCATCAATCCCCTTTCCCCTTTTTACACCTACTGAGAGTTTCACTCCCTGCCCTTTTCTCTATTTACTTGTCTTTATTTTCTCCTTTCTCTTATTCCTCCACTCCTCCCTTTTTCTACCCACTCTGTTCCCTCACTCTCTCTCTCTCACCGTCTCCCCCTTCGCTCCACCCTTTTCTCTTTCCCCTTCATTCTGCTTGTTTAATCTGTGCGGATGTCTAATGAAATCCCTGCTGAAATGGACAATTGTTGCTTTGAGAATATTTATAGAAAGGAATAATCAGCCTGCTTGTGTTTGTCTGCACGTCCTCCCCCAACCCGCTCTTTAAAGAAATAATTAGTTGAAGGCAGGACTGTGAAAGCTCTGAGCTTTGAGCTACACAACAGGCAGACAGGAACGGGAGCATAGAACCGTGGGTAAACAACCCAGGCATCGTGGGTACCGCTGCTGCCTGTGTTTACTTTATTATGACTAACATGGTTACGGCTAAGTTAACAGTTCAGCGTGGAGGATGGCATGTACTGTATATTACACTGGGAATAACGCACAACGAGGGTGTAACTATCCGTGCATCTCCCACTCGGTGTGAGGAGTGACTCGTGTGATTATATTTTGCAAATAATTATGCAACTAAGTCTATTATCTTGAATTATTGTCATGTGACAGTTATATCCGAATAACCCAATTCTACACAGACTGCTCACTACGTCTCGTCTGATAGGAATTACCTCTGGATCCTCACTGCTCTTTATCCGAAAGAAAAACACAGACAGGTAGATCTGTTTTGAGAGAAGCACACCTATCGTATTGGCTCCCATCTTCATCACCACCTGAACACAGTCATCCTCGTCTTTATTAGCTGCCTGTAAATTGCCAGTTGAGTGAAACCTGAGTGACAGAAGCCAGAGACGAGTGTTTCCCGTGCCGTGTTTCAGCCGGCTCGTGGTGACACTCCCGTTCTACTGCTGCACTCACTGGGAGCTCCTCGGCTTTCTCATTCCAGTCTGTTTCATCTGCCTTTTTTTTTTTATTCCTTCTCTATTTTTGTTTGTCTCCTGGCTGACTGACTGAGTGAGTCGTTGCGTTGCGTCGTCTTTGACAGCAGTCTGGGAGCCAAGCTGTCACTCACGCAGCTCCTTGGTCCCACTGTCTGTCTGAAGTCGGTCTCCATTAATATAATAATAGCGTATAGTCTGCGCCACTGAATATTTTACTGTAATGTTCAGCAGAACATTACCCCCACACTCAACGCCACACAGAGAAAGTCTTATTATCTGACTGAAACTTTTTATTTTGACTGAAAGGTCTTTGTGAGGTCTCTTTCATCTGTGGAAGTTTTGGTGTTTTTTTGTTGTGTTTTCCGTTTTGTGCTTCAGGAAAAGTGCAAGGCCCCGTTTGATAAAGTGACTGAGGGTATTCTTTTTCTTGTCAGGCATCTATTATTGACACTTTCCAGGAATAGGCCCAGGTGCGCTGTGTGTCGGTGTGCTGTATTTGATTCGGCAGTTGTCATCTCAGGAAAGCCGTGTCGTTCGGTCCTACAGGCTAAACGCATTGGTACAACATCCTCATCCTATTCCACTGTCATTGGAATAAGCGCGTGTATTCAGGAAGTGTCCCACATATTTACTGTAGGTAAAACACGTCAGTGCTTAGTCAGAGACATACAGTACATAATACATGTTGTGTCAATTGTATGTAAAATCACTATATCCAACCAAATAACTCATTCCTGTCTCTCTGGTTCTTCTCCTTTGTCTCTCATCTTCTTTTCATCCCCCGTTCTCCCCCCTTTGTCCACCTGTCTCTCCTGTCACTCTGCACACAGGTGAGCAGGGTGCAGTGACGATGTTTCCCCTTTTCCTGTTGGATCATCACATGACCGCCAGGGAGCTCGGCTTCTGGAATGGCGTCATCGCCATGGGTTTCTCCATCTGCGGGTCGTCTTTGGGAGGCGTGCTGCTCGCTCAGTTCAGGTAGCCTTTGTCTGAACGGTTGTTAGCGGGGTCACGGTGATTGGTTCTGAATGGCGGTAGTATTCGGGGCCTCTGCTAAATCAGTTTGGTTGATGTCGCGGGCTTTTAGTGACTCCTGCGACGGCTAAAGCAGACACCTCTGTCTTAAGAGCCTAGAACAAACCCTCCTTTCCCTTTCAGGTGGTAACTTCTAGTCATCTCCGCATTCCTCATCACTCTGTGCCCTTTCCTCACGTTTCTTATTACTCTTCACAGGCTCTAGTTTGTGTGTGTGTGTGTGTGTGTGTGTGTGTGTCTCTGCCTGTCTGACTGTGTGTGTGTACAGTAATTTAAGTAAACAGAGCCTTGTTTGAGAGCTCAGGGACCCCCTGTGTCTGGTTTGTGGTGTGTGAACAGCATGAGCAGCCAATTCATCACACACACTCGTGCGCGCACACACACACACACACATAACCACCCCTCAGGGTTTGATCCCAGAGAGGCAATGTGCAAATGTAGTGGAAGTTAATTCTCCAAATTTACAGAAAGATACCACGCTGCAGAGTATATCAAATGGCAAAAATGTGGTATATTCGATTATATCGGTGATATATATTACTTTAAATGTGGTTGTATCAGATATACAGTGTTAAAAAGCTGGTGAGTGCAGAATTGTAATATTGACGACCATGCATCGAGAGATTTCTATCGCAGGTTGTTTTAGTATCGAATCGAACCTTTTACATGTTTCCCCCTTCAGCACATTGACGCTGCCATTTGTGTCTGACCATTGTTGCATAAGGTCTTATGTCTGCTTATACTAGGATCACATCATAGCACAACCCTGCCTTTGGCCAGTGTGACGTAATACAAGCTATTAATAACAGCAATGCCTTTGTAGAGGATAGTGGTTAGTTTCTGCACTATAGGTTATCGTACTCATAATGGTAGCATATGTGCAACTCCCATATTACAACCTATGTAATATGTTTTGTTGAGCTGTGTGGTTGTGTTATCTAAAATGTCTCTAACAATGTTGAAACCCAAAGAAATCCGTGGTTTAAAAAGCTGTTTTTGGTCTCTTTCCAGTGGCGTTATTTCCTCTTTGAGCCAAGCGTTGTGTTTGTCAGCCATAAACTGTACAATACACTTATGTAACAACGCAAGTGTTTTCCTTTCTTGCTATATCTAAACAATTCAGCAGGTACCCAATTTACACCATGACTATTCGTTGACTAATGTCAGTAGTCTGATGTCTTCTCGTCCTCGCGCTGTGTTTCTAGCTCGCTGCCAGGTTTTTACCTCATGCAATGTGTCACTAGCTAACACACAGCTGGCCTCTCAAAGCGAGCCTTTCTTTGACGGGAGAGAACTTTAAAGAGATGTCATTGTTATACTTTTTTTTAACTTACTTTTTCCCTCCATCTCACTCGTAAAGTGAGAAGTGAAAGTACTTGTAAAGCCAGTAAAATGAAAACAATGTTGATTTTTTTTTCATGAATCAATGATCTAGGAAGCAAATTTGTGCAAAGTAAAAGATATATTGACTCAGCTCTAGATTATTTGATAAGGTGGACGTTGTTTGGTTGTATGAACCGTCCAGTGTCATATGAACACTTCTCCTTCCTTACCTCTTTCTGTCACACACACACACACACACACACACACACACACACACACACACACACACACACACACACACACACACACATTCACACAGAGAGAGTGCTGTCCACCAGGCTGCTGTCCCACCTCTAAAAGCTCAGTTGGAAGGTTTATCCTCCCCTCCATCGGAAATGTCTGAGTGATCAGTGAATGACCCCTTTACAACTGCCACTGGCAACCTGAGAACATGGCTATTCTTATCTGGGCCCGGCTCGCGTGAGGTGGCAGCCAGGCAGTTTCTCTTTCTCTCTCACACACACACATAGCATCTCCAGAGAGTGCGTGATATGAAAGACTGTCATTGAGATGGTAAGCAAAGGAGCTGCTTAGAGAAGAATGTCTTTAGCATGTGAATGATGCAGGATTGGTTTTCCAGCAGAGAGGTAAGGAAAGGATGGATGGTGAGGTGGGAGGATACAGAGGGAGAGGAGGAGAGAGAGGGGAGTTTCGCACTGAAATAAAAAAAGTAAAATAAATATATGTGCAAAATATTATACTTATTATACTTACGAATGAGTGTCTTCTGGCATTTTTGGAAAATATATTTTTTGTTATACACATGACTTTATTTTATCATATTGAGATAAAAAGCATTTTTTGTCTATAGCCACTGGAGCAAATATTATATAAAAAATTCACCTTATATATTTAATGTCATACAGTCATACATCACCCTAGGTTCTAGTTCATTGTAGTGCACACTTTTCTGTTTTATGGTGGTTTATAAATCAATCAGTTCATCAAGAATACAGAAATTGTTGCTCATACCATATGATGCATTCGTGCGCCATTCAATGGGGGTTAAGGATGTGCGTTTGGCGGCGTGTGGTGGCCCTGCTCCTCACTCCTCAAAGGAACACATTCAGAGATCAGTATTCATCAGCAGTTTTTTCGCTGCTAAGCCAAATACAGAGGATTAAGTTAACCGGTAAACTTTAGGTCTCTATCACGGGCTGAAATAGTTTCACTCTGTGCTCTTATCCAACTAAATCCGATATCCGGCTCCTTCTTCCTCACAGCCTATTTTACACATAAATAATGACATGCAAAAAGACAAACAAACAGTCCTTTGAGTGGCAGGCATCCTCTGGGTGATTGGCATTGTTAATCCCTGATGTCACACAACATTTGTATGTGTTTGTGTGTGCGTGCATGTGTTAACAGTGATTAATTATCTTCCTCATGCTGGGGATCTCCTTAGGTTATTGATTACGTCACGAACCAAACCCACAGGGGGATGATTTTCTTGCACTAACAGGGAATCAATTAGTCTCTGGGGACTTGTTTACTTAAGCACGTGCACACATGTTACTGTGAGTGTGTGTGTCTGTGTGTGTAATTGTGTGTAACATGAAAGGAAAAATCACAGTGTCTGAAAATGTACCGTACTGGAGCCCCTGGCAGCACACATCACGCTGCTGATCATTAACACTCGCAGTTGTCGAACGTCTCCCTGATGCTTCGCTGGTCTCTCTGCAGCATCGGGGCTCTGATGCGACGCGTGTTTGTGCTGCGGACCGTCAGCATGGTCTTCCAGAGCTCTCTGCTCACTGTGCTGGAACCATCGGCCCTCATGAAAGGTGAGAGAGACGGACCTGCAATGCACTCACTGGCACCGATTACACCGCGGCCCAGTTCAGACACACATTTACTTCTCCCGTCATTCCAGTCAGGTCCAGTTTGGCTGTTTATGTCAATCCTCTGGTGTAATTATATTGCACACAAGGTAATGAAAAAAGAAGAAAAGAAACTCTATCCATATGTTTAAAAACACAAAAGAGAAGTTAGTGACCTTGTTTGTATTTTATTCTTTCCATGAATAGTGTATCAGCGTGCCACATGTTGTTTATTGACCAGATTCTCATATTTAACCCGTCCAGATCTTCATCCCATATGCATCCAGTCCTCATTTCAACCGGCAGTCTTCTAAATAAACACATTAACATTTAGGTACGTTTAAAAATAGCTCAGGTCGCAGGTGCACAATGTGAGTTTATAATAAACTAGCAATGATCGTATAGTTGGCATATGCAAAAGTATCTTTTGTTGAGAATTAAAACTGTTTATTCCACGCAATCAACATTTTCAAAGGCCACCGTTTGAATAAGCTTTGCAATCAGTCATAAAACTCGTGTTATGTAATGTGGCGGATAACAGAAGGCGACAATGATGGTTCAAGTGTGTTTGATGATGATGAAATGCGGTACACTGAACACAGCGAGACTACATTCGGGAAGAAGGAACAATGGTCACAAGTATGCTTTCACACCAACGATGGAAAGAGAAACTAGGTTCTGTTAAATGAGCATTGAGTGGGCCTCTGACAATCTAACAAAGCCCACATGTCATTCACTACCCGGCTACCAGCTTTCTGTGGCCTGGCAGGTAGTGCATTAATATAAAGGTGGGTCGTGTCCGTTCAGCACAGTTTTACTATAGATATTTATCTCCTCAAGTTCTTTATCCCACAATAGTGACGCCTCTCCTTGTCTGGTCTTTGGTCAGGTGACTTGGAGGCTGTTGGGTGTCAAAGAGTTTGGCTTAAACTGTCTTCAGTCTTTTATAACAAGGGGCAGCGAGATCCATAAAGTGTTGCAGTATGGGATTCATAAACAAACACATTTTCACACTTCTACGCCTTCAGGTTCCAAACACACTTTTACACACGTTCTCTCCTGTAAGCCATTCACAGTGACAGAAATTGAAGCTGAATAGAAGCTTAAACCGCTGCTTACTTTCTCAGTTCTGCACACTTGAATGTTGGATTGACTTTTTAGAATTGTCAGACACAGCGACAAAAAACGTTAGAAACCAACTGACCTGCCATTGGGGAGCCAGATGTCCAATACTAACACAGCGAGTGGCTGATGCAGTGGGCATTGATAGACCCGCTGATTCCATTTCTCTCTCAGGAGAGTCATTCCGTTATTAATATCTGAATAACACATCGGATTCTGTTGCACTGACAGTGCAAAGCTTTTGGGATTCATATCTGCGCCTTTTATCTCTGTCTGAGTTGTCTCTTCCCCCTATCAAGCCTCTCAGACTAAAAGTTGAGGCCTCTTTCCCAGAACAAAGATTTCAGGAAGACAAAAAAAAGAAAAGAAAGAAAAACGGGAAAACATTCAGTTTCAGATTTTTCAATATTACATGATAACCCTCCGCTTCCCGCTCCACCAGTCTGATCAGTCGGTGCATCTGTGACTCCAACAGTCTTATGTAGCTGACTGAAGAGTCTTATTCGGGAAAAACTCTGGCGGCTTGAGTGAATAATTCAGTGTTAGCGGGAGCAGAGACAGATCTGCTCTGTGGTTCCTCTGTGTTTCCCCACTAACACCGCTCTGCCACTTCCCCTCAGAGGATACGCTACATGTGTTTTGGGGACGATGGAGGGGGGGGGGGCAGTGAGAGAACGGAGAGGAGACACTTTAGTAGCTTACTGTTTCTTGCTGCTTTGTCTGCGTGCTTTGATTGTGAACACAGAGTGGTGAGAAGTCGAGCGGAGCAGCAGTGGGAAATTGATAGTTTTCTGCCTATTTCAGAAAAACAATAGGTGCAATAAGAAGTTTTCTGTTTTCTGTGTGTTCGGTTCCCCAGGTATGGCCGTCCTGAGTATGAGCGTTCAACACTTTTTGGGAGGCCTCATCACCACGCTCACCTTCACTACCATGATGCATTGCACTCAGAGGGCGGAGGAAAGCATTCAGGTAAAGCAAACTTTACGCATACCTACCAACAGCCCCGTCCCAGACTGTGTTATGTCATTCATTTTTTTCTTTTTGTATTAATTGATCAAGGCGTTTGGTACTAGATGATCTCCTGTGGCTTCATCAGACAACGCAAACTTTCTTTTCTTCTCACCCGCCCTCTTTCTGGCTTGGTTTAGTTGGGCCATTATGTCATTTCAGGTGATTTCCTTTGATTGTCGGGGGCGGCCGGAGAGGGAAATCCTCAGAATACAGCGCCAGACCTACTGTGGCCTGTCACTTCTCATCAGCTGTTTCCACCTGGATCCAGTTTCTATTAACTGCTTCTTTCCGACGCCCCCCCTTCCCTTTCTGCCCATCCTATCAGCTCACTCTATTTTTGTCACTCTGGGGTCCTTTAACGCTCTTCCACTTATTCCTCTCCTCTGCCGTTTTTTTTCCTCTTTAACATAACTCCTTTTGTCCCCGTTGTAACTGGGCCATCGTTGCCTAGAGGTGATCGCTACTCGCACAGCCCCTCGCTCGTCATTCACTATCTTTGAAGGTGACAAAATATCATTTAAATAGCTGTCACTCTTAAAGTGGAGAAGAAAGGGGAAAACAAATCACAGGCCGGCACAGATATCAGGATCTGGTTACTGATAAAAATAAATGACCAATCCCAACATGTGGTGATGAGAACCACCGATAATTTCAGAGGTTCTCATGACACATCCACTGTTTGATTTGATTGTTTGTGAATCTGTGTGTGTGTATGTGTGTGTGGAGAGGAAAGCACTACCTTGGCTGCCCTTGTTGTGCGTATAGGTGAGTGTTGATAAAGGTAGTGCTCTCCAATGACAGAAAGCTGATAGTGAGAGTGCTTGTTAACGATCCCCAGGAGATAGAAACCCAATCTGTTAAACAAGTTCGTCAGAAAAAAGCCACTCCACTTAGCTGTGCTCACACAGGGTCTCAGAGTTCTCTACCTCGTTGTGCAGACCACAGTAGTCTAAACTCCCCACAAGCTTTTTTCACGTTTGTCGAATTCATCCAGAAAAATGTTCTGTACGGCCCACAAATTTGGAAGTTACCAAATTATTTTTTCTCTACATAACTTAATAAAAATGTTTGTCACAATTACAACTTCCTAGGTGACGCTTTGAGATGTCTTAAGTAAACTTAGACTTATCTTTAAGTAATAATACATCTACAATTCGTCACAATAGTAGCTGGAACTTCAATTAGTCCATTATGAAATGAATTGCTGTTTCTGTCTCTGTAATAACTAATGAATTGATTCATTCTTGCAGCTCTTGTTCTACAATGATAAATGAAATGGTGCACAGTGAAACAAACGGTGTTAATGCTGTAACAGATGCTCGTGGTACAGCTTGTGGATGCTCACCAGAGAAGGATCACAATGCTGTTTACCTGGGCAATTTTAAACCAGTAAAATATTTGAACTATCTCTTCAGTTTTCTTTTGATGGCGTAAAGACTTTTGTTATAATGAAGAAAAGAGTCCTAGACCTGAAGACTAAAGGAATCCAGTCGATGGTCTGGGTGAGTCCTTCTGTTTTCTTTAGCTGCCTGCCTTCCCTAAATGCCGTGCTGTCGGGCAGAAGGAGGAGGTTTAGGTAAGATTAGGTAATCTGTCTCTCTCACTCCCTCCTGCCTCAAGGCTGGGATCAGATACTCTTCTTCGTTTGGCCTCCATCCATCGTCTCAGGCTCTGATCTCACGCTTTATCTTTTTTAAGGTCCTTCTGTATCTTCCCCTCCACCCTCCCTTCAGTCGCTTCCTTTAGCTTTTTTCTTCTTGAATATCACAATTTTGATCGAGTCTCGTCTCTGTCTGTTGTTGTTATTTTTTGTATTACTGCTTAAAAGCATTAACTAATAGGTTGATAGGATGAAGTGTCACCTCCTTACTTTCTCATCCACTACTTGTTTTTACTTACAATGTCCCTTTTTTCCCCTGAACCCTCTCCTTCCTCCTTCCCCTTTGTGCTTTTCTTCGGCTCACTTCCCTCTCCTTCGCCTCCTCCTCTTACTCTTTCCTCATCATTCCTCCCCTCTTTTCCTCTCGTCCTACCTCCCCACTCCACTCCATCTATTAGGCGACCCACTACAGCTTCCTGGCCACTCTGGAGGTGCTGGGGAAGCTGACATTCAGCGCTCTGGCTGGAGGTTTGGTGGATTGGTTTGGTTTCCAAGTTGCCTACCTCTTCTTCCTCACCCTCTCGGCCGGGACAGCCCTGCACGTGTGGACGGCTACCTTCACCGGTGCTCTCAGGGAGCACCAGCTCAAAGAACAGCCCAAGTGAGATTGGGATCAGGCTGAAAGGTCGTGACCCGGGGGCCTCCGCAGGTGCTGAAAATGTATTGAAATACCTTTTAGTTTGACTTCCAGTGTTCAGACACCTCAAAAGTCCTTGTGATAAATATAACTCCCATGAGATCAACAAACCCTTTCAGTCAGGAAGATATGAATATTTGCCATTTATGAGGAGAAATCAGCCATGCAGTTAAATACTCTTATTACAGAATGTGCCATTTTTCTTTTTCTTTGCACAATTGTCATTATACTGGCAAAACTGGCCTTAAGTTTTACTTATTTTGCATTTGAAATGTCTGGAAAAGTCTTAACATTTACAGTAATGTAAGGTGATCTTATTGTATAATGAGTTGACTGAGTAGTATGGGATCGCTGCATCCAATCAGTTTGATGAATTGCCAGTGACATCATACTGTTCCTAGTTTGCGTTGACAAATGACATAAGCAAATATTAAAAATGAAAGCTGTTTTTATCATCTGAGCCATTTTAGTGTTTCAATAAGCCAGCAATAAGAGCTGTATCCAAAAGCAATATTGCTACTTTAAGATGCTCGTTCTATTATGTTGTATGGTGTATAAATATGTCCGTCCATCTCCTATTTCTAAATGATTGAATCTCTACTACGTCGTATCAGCACTGTATGGTACGATACACAGGAAGCACATGTAAAGTAGAGCATTTACTCATTGTGTCATTACACACTGCTACCAAAGCTACAACAGTCAGACAAACTAGTATTGCAGGTAGTGACACTGTTTCATTGTTTAAATCGGTTTACAAATGAATAAAAATGCAATACAGCTGTTGAATCCAGAGCATTTGTTCTTTTTAGTTAACCGCACCCTTTCAGTGTAAATTCCCTTCTCGCTTGGAATGTATCGGTCTAACTGTGACCGCCTGCGTGTAGGAAACCTCACACACTGCAGCTTGTCATCTAGTCAGTTTTTCATAAATCATTCTGACTTATCAATGAACTGATAATAACTGGGTTCTTTCACCAGCCTGTCGTCGCGTGTCACCGGATTTGAACACGTTTTCTGCCCCCATGGGAGTGGTCTTAGAGGACCCCCCCGTGGTTTATAGCTGCTCCGAACAACACCGGCACTCCACCCCGCGCTGGCCGAGGGCTACGGGAGTGAAAAGGTTCCGTGTCGCAGAATGCACGACCCATTCAGCTCCAATGACGCAAGAAACACACCCCCTCTCGGCACACCTCAACTTCAGCATTTCCCACCCGCCCTCGTTAAAGGTGTAGCGGGATAGGCGATGCAGGGACACACAGGGAGGGATTATATCTTTTTTCTCTGGAAAAGAGCGATAGAAGTCTTGTCCTGTGTAGTGTCTTTTAAAAAGTCACATGCAACAAAAAGCCCACTACTCATTGTGTTATACAAAGTAATTCAGGCGTATTCTAATGCTCTAAATAAGAAAGGAGGGCTCTTCTGCTCCACATAAATGCTATTGATGATGAAGGAACAATAACTAACTGTCAAGGTTTACTGTCACCTCAATGCAATAGAGGTTAATATAATTTTTTTTGTCCTTAAAAACACCGGAAAATTACATTTGAAAAACACATCTCTGAAGAATCAATCCACTGATTGCACTTCATTTGCTAAATCTCCGCTAAAGCCTGTGTGCAGACTAGAGAGAAAGGCAAAGGTAGACAAGTGGTCTGAATCCTGCAGCGCTGATGAGAGTCAGACCTCCCACTGGGGTTGCCAGATTGGCAGATACCCCCCGTGGAGAGAGAGAGAGTGTCTCTGGGCCACCCTCCATGCCACGGCTACCATTGCAGTGATAGATTGTTGGATTGTATCTGCGTGTTGCCTCACATGTGGACAGTGAACTTTGTGGAATAATAACAGTTATTATGGCAAATGCGTATAAGACGGGATGCCAAGTGGGAGAGAAGCTGGCTGAGTTGGCCAGACGTGCTGTAAACACAAAGTGTAGCCTTCCTTGCACCTAAAAGCGTTGTGTAATCACAGTATAGCAATCAGACGGTTACCCAGTAAATCCATAACTTTGATACGCCGGGGCACACGACAATTGTGTTTGTTCATGTGAGCTGTTCTCGTTGGAGTCAGATTCCCTATAAGGAAGGGAGAAGCTGGAGGTTCTTTTATGCTGACAGATATTCAGTTTCAGCCATTGACAATCAGGCTGGGGCGAAAAAGTCTGGCCACATCACCAACTTTATACCTGTATCACACGGCAGGAGGACGGGCCTTCTCATTCACGGCGTGCCAAGCTTTATCCGCTCATCACGGCATCGCGAGATGCCACACAATGTCACCCAAACAACAGGATGCACAGAAACAATACGGGAGATTTCATGAGTTGACAAGAATGGAGAGAGAGAGAGTGAGTCCTCTTCCCCTGCGGAGCGACTGACGCAGGAGAGGAGAGCCCAACTTCTCTTAATCTCAGCAAACAAAGGTGTTGTATCGCTTTTTTTCTTCTTCTTTTGTCTCTTCGCAACCACAGGGGAAAGAGGTGTTGGCTTTTCGCGCTGCTTTTGTCCCGTGGCTTGCAGAATGGCCTTCTGGGAAACTTGAGTGGGCAGGTGGAAGAGCAATCGGCAGCATCAAGTGTCACGGTGTTTCCTCTGCCGGTGTTTACTTTTTGTTTATTTGCAGAATGAGCGACATGGACACCTCTGTCTCCTCTCGCTCTTCCCAGTGCTTTGTCCTTAGTCTTTGTTTTCCTCCTTCGGCTCGCTCGACTAACTTTATGATACGCTCACATAGAGTTTGTTTTTGTTTATCAGGTTCTCTGCGACACAGAAAAAAACGATTGAGACTTCATTGTCATTTCTCTACAGATGTTAAGTTTCCAAATAAAATGCAGCCATCTTATTTCCATAGTACAGTTAATAGCCTATGTTGAGATACCTTGCAATTAAAATATATCAAATGATTTAATTTATCTTTTGCAAGATTGTGGATTTTGTTTTTTTAACTACGTTTTATTATTTAATCTGGCAAAAAGCATAAAAAATGACTGTCCATCTAAATGTTTGTCAATGCCAACAGTTTAAAACTCCATAGATGCTTTATTCTGAATAGTTAAATTAATACATTATAACTTCTGTCCTAATCTTAACTCAAGGTCCAACTACTAGCTGTTATGCATTATCCCACAGTCTTCATCAATGAAGGACTCTACTAAAAATATCCTGAGTAGATTGACAATGATACGGCTGTTACTTTTGTTTTGAACTGAAGCACTCTCGTTTTGACATCTAGAGAATTGAATCTTTCAAATGATTGCATTTTAATGGCAGACGTGTGGCCAGCCATTTGCTATTAAACAAAGATGGTGATCCAACATAACTCCGTATTAAATGGCAAATGTTCAGCAATCATCTCACTATTTAATCTGTCTAATGATATGACATTGTGTCTATTAGTTAAGTGGTTCCGGCCAAGCAAGCCAAAACATCTAGCGCATTAATTAAAGTGTGCGCAAATGTTCAGCTGCTGAGTCTAAGTGTAAATGTCATATCTGTGCATGTCAGGCAGTGACATGTGTTCATGTTCTTTCTACACAACAGACTTAACGCTGAAACCCACTCAAGGCTCCAGCAAATGTAGTTGAACAAATAGATTCTTTTTTTTTTTTTTACAGACTAATGGATTTTTTATATGCCCCCACAGCAGTTAGGGCTTAGGAAGGAGGAGGAAAAGAGAGGATCTATGGAGGAGGAAGTATGGGGGGGAGAAGCAGTGAAGGCTCAGTTTTCTGTTCGCTGAGATACAACGGCCGCGTTGTAACTGGAGCCCCCGGAGGAAGGAGCGCTGATGTATTTTCTCCCATTGCAGGCGGGCAGATATCTTTACCTGGTGTCGATCACATGACCTGATCACCACCGTCGGAACAGGCAAAAATGTACTCAGGCGGCCTTTATGAAGATTCAAGGACCAACGCAGATACAACACAGGAAGAACACAAGGAGGATCATTATTCACTTGCTTAAATCTGCAGTTGGACGTGTTACAGGGATACTATAAATACACTCTCACATATTATTTGAGGCAGTAGTAGCACATGCACACACACACACCCATGACTATTTATCCTGCTCTGTTTCACAATGTCTCATGATTGTGTTTTGGAGAATTTTCTTTTTGAGAATTACCAGTACAGTAATCCCTCGTTTATCGCGGGGGTTACGTTCCGAAAATGACCCGCGATAAGTGAAATCCGCGAAATAGAAAACTTTTTTTTTTTTTACAATTAGCAACTATTACATGTATACAAATACAGTGACTCGCGTGTAGGCCGTTTCACTGCTCTTCAGACTGGGCCGCTGCATCCTGACTGCGCTCTGCAGTGTTCTCTTCTTCTGAAGCCCGCGGTGCAGGTGTGTTTGTTCGGGAGAAGAACATAGTGATAGGCAGCTGTTGTCGCTCTTTTTTCTTCTTTGCAAAAAGATCCTTGTACACCGACATGCCACCATCGATTACGTTGGAGAACTGTAATGAACGGCTCGGGAGTGAGTTTTTAGCGAATCAGAATGCAGAGCACAATGCACCAAAAAAAAAAAAAATGCAATATGAAAATCCGCGAAATAGCGAATCCGCGATAAGTGAACCGCGAAGTGGCGAGGGATCACTGTATTTCAATTCAGTTCATTTAAAAATCATGCAAATAATCCCCTGCACTTAATTTAGAAAAATCCCTTTTCCATTTTGATTGGAGCCTGAGTAGAATTTTTGGTTATCTTCCACTGAAATGCTGTAAGTTCACTACATCATCCTCTGAGCAATAACCAGAAGCCCGACCCGACTAAATAACCTACCGAAAGAATACATTATACGTTCCTCGCTCATTTGGTTAATAACACACAAGCTGTTTTCATACAGGATTCCTGCTCCCTACCAACATAATCATAGTGGTCTATTCTTAGGTCCAGGATCTTAATTGGGATGAATCTTCAATGGGAGACAAAAAAAGTCTGTGTGTTGAAGATAGCAGCGTAAACAGAATTTCACATGTAGTACAGTAAATGCACACATAACACGGCACAAAGTAAATTACTTTTTTTGTATTTTCTTTTGTTTGTATCAGTATATCACTCGACTGAATTCATGATTCATACAGTTCTGAAGGTTGCATTGGCGTAATTATCTTTGTTGCAAAGTTATCACAAATGGGGATTGTGTTTATTTATGGATAACCAACCAGATCTATAAAACTATCTAATAAAACAGTTGCTCCTAGATGCTTTGTAGCATAGTGACTGCTAGGGGCCACACTGTGGTCTCAAACAGAGAGCCAAAGGGCCAGGAGTTGCTTTTTTGGCTTTTAATTACTCCACAGGATCGAACCATCACATAACTGAATCTCACTGCCCTGTGCTACAGCCGAATAAAGCAGGATGTGTTTTGGGATGTAGCCACCCTGTGGTTGACAGGATGACGTGGAAAACATCCTTCCTACACACTTTACTCTATTTTCATCTTGCAATCACAAGAGGTCTCTGAGCTTCTCTCTGGTGTTTGTTGCTGCGCCACTAACCTTTGGCTAATTGTCTATTATGGAAAAATAATTTAAAATACGTAATCGACTTTGCTGTCGAAGCGGTCTTAAGAACATCTACACCAAATATTGAATAAAAGTGGAGGGTGTGACATTAATGACAGCTTTCTCCATTTGAGACGGTCTCCTTAAGGTCACTCAAATGTCAAATCCCCCCCGACACAACATAAACGCTTTGTATACTGGTGCATGCCTTTCTGCACACTTGTGTAAAAACAATGAAACTACAGAACCCCCGTGTGTGGGCATTTGAAGCGAGCGT